ACAGGAAAGCTGAATGGGGTTAGTTTGTCCATCCAACGTCTCTGCCAAGCCCTCCTTTTACCCTAGTGGCTATGCCCTTCCCAATCAACATCAATAAATTCGGCAAGCCTGGCTGAAGGGTACCTGATAGGAAGAACGGGTATATATAGCGCTTGATTCATGGCTCGGTAAACATCCGCCTATATGCAAAGAGCTATGGCGTGCATGATGGGTGTATCCAATTATTAGGAGGTGATATGTACAAATCTTTCAGCAAGAGTTCTTGAGGAGAAAATTATTTACTGGACCCGGGAAAAAAAGGAACTTGGGCTTTTACTGCCCGAACGCATAACTGTTTCTTCGCCGTTGGTGATCGGAATAATTTAAAGCACAGCACTCATGCTCCGCGGACATGGGGATAGGATGAATAGGGCTGAGTTCTGGAAAACTGGGACGGCATATAACTGCCTAAATGCACCTCGTCTCCTCCATGACACAAAGTGAAAGTACACTGCGCCGCTTGTCGACATACAGATCTTCATCAACAATTCCTACTTTCGAGAGCAGAAAAAAAAGAAGGAATATAGCACAGCATTCTCTTGTGTCACTTAGAAGGCTCTAAATATGAATATCCTCACGTACGGTTGACACAGGAGAAGTCCCGCTAAACCGGCTCTTGAATTACAACCTGAGTTTTCGATGGCTATGTTTGGCAATATCTGAGCTCCTTAATGCAAATTATAATATGGAATTACACAGGACAGATACAGCATATCTACTATTGCCTTGTCGTGTGCTAGGGTTACAGCACAGTCTCGCTTCAAGATCGGCAACGATAATCTTGGAACAGGTCTTCGGGTATATCACATAAATAAAAGAAAGTGACCGGAACATATTGTCTGGGAAAAAGTAGAGCTTCGTTGGAGGCATGCGAGATGAATACAAAGGTACTATATTGAAATGAAAGAGTACTACTACTAGAAACTGGAGTGTTTCTGGAGTCCTATGCATTTTCTTATTGTACTTTACCGCCGCACGACTTGCCTCTCTATGGAAGGAGGTGCTTGACCTAGGGTTGTTGAGACAATTACTTAGATTGCCCCAGAGCCTTGGCAAGAGCGCATAAAATGATTGTAAATTGCTACAACAATTACAGATGATCCTAGATATGTGGGTACCGCGGGATACTTACTGCTACTTTTCTTTTCCTGTCCCGAGATTACAAGTCGTGTATTAATGCCATGATTTCTAACGTCTTGTAACTTTTTCGGCCCGAGGGAGTGGTACGTTGACAACATGGATATCAAGCTATATGGATACTCAGTTAGATAGGTTTTACAGTGGCTACTGGAGGGAGTGTCTCTATATCTTGCTCATATACTTGCACGCCACTCTAATAAGTTCGCAAAATGATACCCATTCTGGCCTTTCGGATGGGGGGAAATGTTTCAGATTCGCATTAAGAATATTCCATCAAAAATTCTTACATGTATTGCTTTGTGAAAGGGCGGGTCGGTTTGTCTGATATGGAAGTAATGTTGCAGAACTCTCCTCTTCAAATGAGGCTGATATGAAGAAAGTCGTACAAGATTTGGATCGCGGAGATGGAAAAATATCAAAGGCAGATATCGGGGATTTGGTTGATTGCTAACCGAAGACATACTGAACTGGAACCCGAAAACGTGATGTGTAACGCACCTTGTGCAAACTGTGTATTTTGTAAGGTCTTCACCGGGAAAATGGTTTCAAAGCTTGGAAGGTGAAAGAGGGGGGTGTGTTTGCAGATCAAGTAGGGAGATCCCAGATCCAGAGCAAACAATGCACTTTAGTAAAGAAGGAAGCCATAGTGGAACCCTCATCAGTCCTCACTCAGACCCTGCCGGATATGTGGGAAGGGAGCCCGTACCAGTCCATGAATAATTTAAAATTAGGGGGTAGAAGCCTTTGGTGACACCAGAGAAGGGTACGATTATCCACCATTAAGAATTGCAGTTGAAGAATGTGGGGAAGTTCCGCTCCAAAAAGGGGCGTGGGATGAAGTTGACAAGGAGATCTCTCAATAGACGTTAGTGAGGTTGAACTTGTCATGAAAAAGGATGTACGAGATATGTGGCAAAAACATTCACTTAACTTCAAACAACTAGCGAAAATTGGGGTAGAAGCTCGCTTAAATTACGCAGAGGGCGGTTGAGTGAGATTGGTAAAATAAGGCGAAAAATAGAAGGTTTTGATCTAGAAAGAACTTAAAGAAAATATTGAAATATCTTGTTTAGCAAGGGAGCCAGCAATTCATAGCTCTAGTTGAAGTGCGCAACCACTCTGCACATGTTCCTATGAGTCTACAAGAATGAAAGGAGTGAAGCTTTAAGTCGTTTGATCATTTGGAACAGTTGAGCTTTGGCCCCATGGGACTGATTCCGACGTAAAGGAAGCAATGTATACGGGGTTTACTCTTGTTTAGCTGCAAATACATGTTGCCTCTGGCATGTTTTTTGATACTGATACCAAAAAGTCCCAACAATCACCCAACGAAATATTAGAGATTTAATGAATGATTCAAGTTGCCTTGCTAGAATATCGGACTTTGCCACGGAGAAATAAGTATTGTAGTAGATATAATAAATGATTGTTTATGTATCACTCCTTTCCCATTACCTGCAAAGCAGAGGAGATGCTTCTTCCGATATCTCATGATGATCAGTCGAGAAGGAGCCAAGTTGCTGGGATGGGATTGATAAGTGCCAATGATAAGAGGGCACCTGATAGTGATGATATGAATTGAAAGGAATTGAGGCAAGAGTCTGATGTGTGTGGTGCGAGGATCTCCCATGCATCAGCCCACCGCTACAAACAGGGGTAACATACAAGGTGATAAAACGTATGGGTTGCTGGCTCAAGACTTCGATGTCTCACACACTTCATTTGATATGTACTTCGTAAATTACCCCTCACTTGTCAGCCAAATGGATATGGTTTGATCTTCTATGAATGAGCCGCCGCCCTCCACAGAAGGCTCGTAGAAAGTGTGCAGCTGAACTGAACCTCTCGGAGGAGCTTACCGACCCGCGGTACTGCATAGATGGAGCTGGGGTTCTCTTTGGCTCACCCCTTGATCATATGTCGGTCGGGGCGGGTGATTGTCTTTCGTTCAGTGTCATTTTTTACTTCCCGGTACGATTGATTGATTTAATCTATCGTTATCACCATGGATCTCACCACCCGAAAGAGGAGAAATAGTCGCCCCATACGTTTCTCCGAAAGACAACTGAGAACTGAACCAAATTATGGAACGTACGGTTATCATGGAGAAGCTCTCGCAAGTCATAAATCGGGGAGGTCTTGCTCCCTCAAGGTTCCTCTGTGATACAAAACGTAAGCTGATTCGGTGTTTTGGCGATTCGATACCCTTCGCTTATCTCCGGGATAGTTCCCCGTGGTGTGATTACTACTTCAACTCATCAGATTATTAGCTGACCATTTGGCAAAGTCCGATTTACTTCTGATTTCAGTAAAGGAGTTGTATGAGCAAGTAGAAACCATTGTGTAAGTTTACCTCAATTAGTGACCGGCACTCGAAAAGTCACTACCGTAGTCGGTGAAGAATGATTAATTAAGTGTTGCATAAAGCTTACGCTCACCGACTTAAAAACGTGTGGGAAATATAGTGAAGCATAAGAGCGTCGTCATTTTCCATATACACCCTATCTATTCACTTTTCTGCCCCTATCATAGCCGAGCGAACTCCACGTGTGGTATTTATTTTTTGCTTGCTAGCGAGGAATACTCTGGTATTAATTGAGTGTCCTAAAAACCAAGTTTGGAATTTAATATCTTTTCATTTTTTTTTTTCTTTAAAGGAACGATACGGTTCAAACAGTTTGCTGAGATGATATGGTGGAGGCGATACCCCGCTGGCTGAATGAGGCAAGATATATCGGCAAGATATATCAGTTGTTAGTGTGTATTTAGTAAGCTCATTAGAAGGTTTTCATTTCCAAATGATAAGAAAATATTGTGGCTTTTAAATGCTCGTCGTGGTTCGACGGGAAAGTGTTTGGGGTTGGGTGTTTAGTGGGTCATATGCTGTGACCCTCATACTGTATACTTCCGCTGTACCCCACGTTTGTGGGGAAAAGTCATGGGCCATTCATTGACTGGGGGTTAGCTTTGAAGCGAGGGGGAACTTTGTGATATCATTCACCATTCTCTAGTAGGCGTTGTGATGAAACCCTTCTAGAAAGCTAGAAGGTGGCTAGCTCCATTTGGAGCCTTCCATGGGAAGACTTTATTGGCTCAAGCGAGGCCAAGGGTTTGCTGCACATCAGGGGTCCGAGGAATTCATCCTACAGTACTACTGTGTCTACTAGTTACACTAACATGCCATTGCAGGCCTGGAATACCCAATTCCCACCTACCGTTTCAATATGCTGATGGTAAGATTCTTCGTAACCATTTCCTTTCTCAGAATTGATCCTAATGTTACGGTCAGGATAAAAGATGGTTCGGTCAGCCAAGGGGAAACAAAATCGGACGCAAAACGTGTTTTTCACTGTTGTGCTTCCCAGGATACGACGGGATTTGGTATTCCTCCAATCACAGGCCCCAAAAAGTATCAAGATACAGTTGTACAGTGTTGTAATGCAGTAGGTGGATAGGCTACCGTCGCAAACTGCTCGTATGCGCAGTATTACCATCACGGCCTGGTTGCCCAAATAATGAAAAGCTTGGATGATAGTGGATCTGGTATGATATAATGCCATAGCTTCAAATATGGGCGGTTTTATCTTTCTTCACCTCATGTAATGTACCCCATACTCGGGTCTTAATACATAAAAATATAGCTGCAACTTTGACGCTTGCAGTGCACCAGAAAACCTCCGAGTACCCGCGTGTTGAGATGGACGAGATGCCATTTCAGGAGTTTCCGAGGATTTGATCATCCCTGTAACAAGGTGTCCAGCAACCTCATGCACAACCAATATGGGGAAGAAATTCCTGTATCGCCTAAATCAAATCCGAGCCTACCGTTGGTCGGCCACCTCAATATCTTCCGGAAATGAGGAACCACGCCGCCCCGGCGAAACGGCATTCTTGTTGAACGCCATACCAAGTAGCATAAACATTTCTCGTGTAACAGTAAGACGGGTAACCGGAATCAGGGAAGATTCAATTGACATGGTCACTGTAGACAACTGCCACTCTCTAGATAAATTTACTTTCAAGGGGCTGAAAGCGAAAAAGGCCATCTTGCTAGTCCGAATTTCTGATTGGGTGACCCCGGCTTACTAGAAATCACTGATAGTCGTATCAAACTGCGCTTGAAATCGACGAAGAGGATTTTGGCGAACAGATGTGAAACTCCAAGAAACTGGAGGTCAAAGATGACAGCTCATACTCGGTTGATTTATAAATGAATCGTTCATCTAACATCAGAACCAATTCGCCAAATATTAAGGTACAGCAGCAGCCAAACGACAACTCGAATACCAAAATCCCAGTAAATATGGCGTATAGTGGTAAAGCAATCTATATCGCAAAGATTTATTGACACCCACCGAGTGCTTTCTTGTTTAGCATGCAAAATACCGTGAACATATCTATTTCTTGTCTGAAATGATTCTCAGCAGTTGTCGTGAACAACTGAGAATAACCTGTACGTAGAACACTTCCATGAAATGTAATGTACAAATCCTCCACCATTATAGTAGCGTGGGTGCCCCAACTTCGCGCACAAAGATGAACAAAACATGTTCTGTGTAACTAAACCAAAAGTGAAAAGCATGGACCTACCCTAGCGCCAAGTAAATAGAAACCTTCCCCCCTCGCTTAGCATATGCTCCAAGAAACGGTGCTTAGCTCTTTTCGACCTGAAATCGTCAAAATCTGACCGGCTTCAAATGGCTATTACTACACGTTGATTAGGTAGTAGTGGTTCAGGCGTAACGAGTGGCAAATACTTTTAGTATCAGTACGGCCGGAGACCAGGGTTAGGACTCGGCTTAAAAATATCTCCTCCTAGTTTCTTGTCCCGCGAAGAATGTATTTGGCCTAACAAGGGACGTAAAGTGGTTTCTAGTAAACCCATCAAAATATGTAATCTGAGTTTGTATATAACTTCTATATTAGTTAAGGAAAACTTATATAAACTTAATAATCCCATACTTATAGACGATAACAAGCTTAGCCTAAAAGTCCGACTGTGAATTCTTCCTATATCTCTGTATAAAAAGCGACGCGTTTGAATCAGGGGTTCGCTAAACACGAAAAAACCGCTTGGCGGGACAAGGACCCGGGCGGAGGTAGCTAGATATTGAAGTTAGCACAATAGTAATACTGTATTAATTGGATTACAAGATACCATTATTTAAATAAAAATCCATCCTAAGGCCTATTTGAACTATATCTTATATAAAAACTAATATCTTATATAGTAATGTTGCCCTACTTTTTAGTGTGGTTTACTAACCTCCTCTCCCAACCTCTATGTTTTACCCCCAACCTCATCTAATCTATCTATTCTTTAAATCTATTCTATTCCTAAGATTTAAGTACATTCTCAAAGTAAGAATGAGACGTGGAATGGGTCCTGGAATCATTCTACGAAGAGTTAATAGGGGGCTAAATATGCGGAGTATCTAGGAATAGCTTTATTTTTGCAAAATTTATATGCGGTTTTTTTGTAGCTTAACTTTGAAACACCCTCTTAGTCATCCAGTACTGTAATCGTGAGTGTTTTAGCCAATGTAGTAGTGTTGAATAAAGCATCTGAAAAATGATATAAAATCATAGATTTGAGATTCTAGCCTTCTGATTGGTTAGAGTTATAAGATATTAGTTTTTCGGACCATATGGAACCATATCTACTGACGTAGTAGTATCTTATTCGTAAATGATATCTTATAATCCAATTAATACGGTATCAAAGAAAGCTTAGAGTACTAGATTTGTAATTGTATGTTTCAAAGGGTTTAACCGCTGTCCTGACTTGTTTTCGAACCGAGAACGCACTTGGAAAATACTAAGCGAGGGGGCTAGAGGGACTGTTAAATTACTCGACACCACATACCCCTTTCCGAACTGGCCATCTATGAGCTTTTTACGATTTCATATCCATGTTTACACCCAATTCAAGTACAAATTCTTGTTTTAGTCCTTCATTCCGAGTCTGTTTTTGGAATGAGAAGTTTCCGGCACCTTGGGGGGTATTTATGTTCGGATCATGGAGAGAATCATGTCTTCTCTTTCCGATGCAAGCTCTGTTCTTAGCGTATTGGCGCGCTATGATGGCAATATTGCGAGCGAGCGGGAGAGCTGCTCAGACTGATTCCCTTCCACTTCACAAGCTGGCTGAAATAAGAAGAAAGAAAACGATCTTAAGTTCAAACATGCTATTCATCTTTCCACAGGTGTCAAAATGGTACCCATTAATTCTTGTTCGTTCCCCAAAATAATCAATATGACTTTTCTCATGCTATGAAATGGATGCGGGAGAGTTTGGTCAGTTTGTTTCTGAGAAGCGATGTATGTACATGTAACCAGATTGAGGTATCCCGTTGGCGGGCTCTGTGAGATTCCAAAGCATGAGCTTCTTAGGAAGAACAAGAAGAGCTTCGAGAGGTTTCAAGTCGTCTCGTGGATGCAGTAGTACCATTTTCTCAGTCTTTAAACTGCAAAACTGGTCATGACTGAGATTTACAGTATGAACTAAAACGAGGCCAAAAAGTGTAAAACCCCGCCAATCGTGCAAACGGTCATAGTTTGGCGCACTGGATATCTTTGAATCTCGTCTAAAGCAATACGTCTCCTGTTCAAAACAAATATTCCTACTTCACTTAAAACATCTTATTATCCTGTACCTCTGAGTCCTCGATCGTCTTCCTAGTATCAGGACCTTGCCTCTTCTTCCATTTAAAGCTATTTCCAAACGTGCTATTGAGAATTAGTAAAGTGAAAGAACATAGTGTGGATGAAGAATGCTCAAAATTACCGGGTTTCTACGTAAGAAGGCCTCTGATATGTGGCAGCAGGTATATCGACCCCCCGGAGTGCGGTATATCGACCCCCCCCCCTCTCGCCTAATCGCTAAAATTCACCGCCCTACTACTTTGGTAGTAAACACAGTTCATATTCGGGCGGTGAGTTTTTTTTTAAAGCTAGTACTAGGCAATAAAATTTTTACCTACGTAACTTGACTTTGAAGCTATTCCTACTACTTTCATATCGTATTCTCCCTATAATATGGCGGATTAACCAGAGTCTCCTGGCATCCAATTGCGCCGAATCTAAGCCTAGAATACCGTACTACAGGCTTAAGTTAACTCGTATACCCTTACGGAAGCTAGTCGATTGAACGTTAACCTTCGTCAACAAGTTAAGGCCTTTCAAAAGCAAAATAATATTGCTCTTCTATTACAAGTTCCTGCTATTCGACGTTCGCTAATACTACTACCCCTTAGCCTTCACACTCGAATTAGTATTCTACTAATTATACTACCTACTCCTACGAACTTAGTAAACATATACTCCTTTAACGACTTTGACTTACTACTAATTAAGGTATATCTCTCTAAAGATAAAGCGATTAAGGATTTTCATAATTAGGGTAAACTACGCGGCTAGGGTTTAGTTTTATAAGGAGTAAAAGAAGGGAAAACAAAGGAGAGTTAAGGCTACAATTGCGTATAATCGAAGGGAGAGACTAATCGAAGAGAAGATCCGTAAGGAAGCTACTAGTGATAAATAAATTTTGTAGTATAGTTGCGGACGGAGTTTCTGTGAGACTTGATTACTCTCTTAAAAACGTACTTACTAACTTGATTTTTTTTAAATATACTTATTTAATAGTAATAAATAGATTTGTAAATAGATAACAGGGGGTCACCGTGCTTTTAAATACGTGGTGTTAAGAGAAACGTAGAGTTGTTGCGAATAACGCACCTAAAGCTCGGACCACCAATGAGGCGAGGGGGGGGGAGTCGATATACCCGCTCCCCTGATATGTCCAATATGCAGACTTGGGAAACTAAGAAAACCAGCAGCTTAAAGATCACCATTTGAACTTCAATTCATATTTCAAAAAACTAGCCAGACCGGCAATTTGTACTTAAGCCCTAGATTTTTTTCTCACACTGTCAAATCGTCTCCTTCTACCAAAACCCCCTAATCACAACATAATTGATATCACGGACTCCGCCCGTAAAGCCCGAAAATCCCAGACCCATGTCGCCTAATACATCCTACCAACTCTCTACCTCTAGTAAGTTAAACGTACACTTAAAGACCAAAACACCACCACAAATTCCTCAAAAAGACAAAAACACCAAACACGACCACATCATCAACGTCCTCGTAAAATAACTGCTATAACAAAACAAAAACCCCTTACTATATAAGATCCCGACGCATCCATCCCAGCTACCGTAAGCGATTCAATTCAATTCCAATAAACACCATCTACCAAAGCACCAAAAGATCACTTCCAGATAAAGAAAACTAACTATCACCTTATCATGTGTTACCAGCACCATGCGCACCTTATTTACCTTTCCATCTAGAAGCCTCAGTTTAATTCAAGGACGCAAGTTACATATCATCCAACATCATAGAATCAATCAATCAAATTCGTAAAGTCAAACTATCGATACGACCGCAGGAAAGGGATCTCCCCTAACTTCTCACTAATAAGTCTCTGACGAGATGGATTCAAGATGCGTCTTGCTAGTACTGTAAATGTACCATAAGAGCACATCGAACGTAAAAGGCGAGTTCCAGAAGTGATGTAAGTAAGAAGCCAGAGAAGCTCCTGGATAGCCAGCCAATACGCCATACTGCAACAATGAACATCTATAGGAGAACTTTGAGAAATTCTTGCAAACCCAATCTTACAAACAGAGGAACGATTTACGTAGCTGAACAGAAAATTGGACCAATTCACGGATCAGGAAAAGGCGTTGACGCCAAATTACTTTTCGCCAACATGACGAAACCAAGCAGAAAGAGATTCTGAGATACTGTAGCAAAGGTGGAGAAGGGAGACGAGTGGTTAATAGAATGATACAATATATTCATAAAAAAAAGGGAGCAACGCATTCTATGCCACAAAGAACCAAAAAACTAAGATGCACCCGCACTTGACCCCTTTTTTGCTTCACAATGTTTCCTCCATTCATACGTGATTGTGTTCTCGTTTGAAGGTCATTACGTTCCCTACGCCGGCGTGGTTGCTTCATTCATCTTATACAAGTACTTAACCATTGAGATAGCTTCTGATAGCTCCTTGCAGTTTGGTTGCACCCTCTCCAAGGACTTGGGTTAAGTTTTCCAGATCGTCGCCAGCCGTAACTCCAAATTTTCTGACGAAATCCTTTGCTGCGCCCTCCAAATCGCCGTAATCTTCTCCTCCCTCTTGATCTTCAGGACGTCCGAAATATGCATTCGAGGAAATAGCAGAAGCACCCTCGAATCCTTGGAGTCGAGTTTTGGCTTCAGATTTCGCGTTTGGATCGAAATCTCCCTTTCCGAAGAACTCGTCGGAAGATATACCTTTTTGGGCGCCAAATTTCGATCGAGCGTATTTTTCGTCATCGTCTAAATCCCGATCAACATACTACAATGAAAATGGAGTTTCCAGACTTACCTTCTTGGGAGGCCTTGATAGGACCAACGGACCCAAACCCACCCATCTTCTTCGCAGGTGCCGTGGCAGATTTAGCACCTCCGACCTGGCCAAATCCTAGCCTGCCCATACCCATACCAAGTCTCTCAACTTCGCCAGTGTTACGCTCTCGTTGTGCAGAACCATAACCTGCTCGGCCTGGGCTTGTAGGCGTAGGTGCAATCTTATTAAGATCGGCGGTTTTGGTAACAGCAACCTTCCTGGGAGCTTCTTCCGCATCTGGATTATAACCCAGCTTTGCGATCCTTTCTGCTTCTTCCTTTGCCTTCTTTTCCGCGGCGTCAAAATCGATGACGTCTCCTGTAACTTTCTTTGCGCCTAACTTTGTCTTCTTCGCGCCCAGTACGTTAGCTTTTCGCGGCCCGGCGCCGGCCCCCGTTCCTTTGCGCAATGCTGCAGATGATGTAATTCTGCTAGCTGGGGCAGCCGCGGCACCTTCTGTTCCTGCCAACGGCGAAGCTGTTCTTGCGATACCGCTTCCATTGCTATTGGTGCTTCCGGAGTTCAAGAAAGGGGAAGGAGTTCGTCCTACGACAGGTGGTGTTGCAGTTCGGGAAATAGGGGGAGTGGGTCGCTTGATAGCTGGTTTATCCCAAGAGGAAAAGAAATCATCTTCTGGTTCTCCTGCAGGTGTCGATGTTCCGTCCGTTGGTCCATTACTCATAACATCTGTAATAACTACTTCGGTAGGATACCTCAAGAAATGTAAGTGGCGCACACTTCTAAATGCATAGAATAACTTACTCAGAAGCATCGCGTGCTGCTCTCTTCTTCAATTCCTCCTTGTACTTAACTGCGGCGTTCGCAGTATATTTGGTTGTGGGGTCTTTGCTGTTCAAGGCTGCGCTACCGCCATTGGATTGATAGAACTTGGTCGCAGATTCGTTTCCTCCAACCTTCATGATTCGCAGTTGGTCCCATTGCCATTCTATACGGAGTATTAGCATATTGACGTTGCTCAGCCGGCGGTATATTGAGCATACGATCAAGGTTGGTGGAGCGCACAAAGGAGATGTGAACGCCCAGGTTTCGGTGATTCGAGGAGCAATCAAGACATAGATAGATGCCAAAAGGAACGGATGTCCATGTTGGATTCTTCGCGCCGCAGTCAAAGCAGATCTGCCAACGGTCTTTGGTCAGCAATTGTGGCTTCCTGAGTGTTGCGGTCAGGGGCATAGGTGCGTACTCTGTTCGCTGGCTTCGTTCGCAACTTTTCGAATATCTTCTGCGACTGCGTCTTCGAGGCGAGAGCAGCCATTTCTGCGTGTGTTGAGGGGTATTACTATGTGGTCGGGCAGCGCCAGTTGAGGGGCGAATGTGTTTTGGTAAAAGTGTCCGGACCCTTTCAGAGCGAAGTTCAGTGTTCAGTTGAATCCCAGAGGGGTTCGGGCCACATTGCTAAGAGCTTACCCGATTGGGAACTAGCGCAGCCATCAATCAAGCTTTCTTCCCCACAATTTGACTGGAGACTGCACGAGCTTCGACGAGGCTCCGATCGAGCTTCCAGGTTCAGGTTCTACGAGTATTGCGAAAAACACCATAACAAATCTGCACAGCAGTTTCGACCATCCATATCCTCTACTTCTGACGAGAACGAGTGTTTTCAGCCATGAATTCTTTGGTCCGGGTACCCGTTGCGCCTCTGCTATCATTCCCAGCAGCTCTCCGTCCCATAATTGCTGCTCGATTGTACGCGACACAAACCCGGTTAGGAACTTCCAATTCAGTACCACAACCAAGAAGAAAGGCAGTTACCGCTTTCAACGATGACGGCAGGGTCGCCTGGGGTAATCTATTTCCTATGGAAAAGGCTGCACGAACGACGCAACAAACCTTCAATTTGGGCGTCATTCTGGTTGGCGCGGTGCTAACTGTTGGTACCATTTCCCAGATCTACCGACACCCAACTAATTTGTCTTATAGGCTGGAGTATCTTATGTGATATATACAGAGGTGTTCTCTCCCGATAGTACTGTGACACATTTCAATCGAGCCGTGAACAGAGTCAAGGAGGACCCAAGATGTACCGAGGTACTTGGGAATAGCAAGAAAATTACAGCATATGGAGAGCCAACTATGAATAAATGGGCCAGGGCAAGACCGATAGCGTAAGGCGATTCGAAGTCATCGAGGTGAACTTTTACTGATTTTCGGCAGGTCAAGAATTGAAAAAGATCGATATGGCGTTGAAAATCTGATCATGCACTTCAATGTAAGTATCTTACTCTCATCATCAGATGGTCAACGCATCAAAAACAGAACTCACAAAATTTAGGTTGAGGGACCTCTCAATAAAGGAGTAGTGAACCTTCATATGCAAAAGAGAGCTTCAGAGGGCGAATTTAGATACAAGTATCTATCATTGGATGTGCCTGGCAAGCAGAGGATATACCTCGAAAATGCGGACACCAATCCAGATTACCCTGGAAACAAAACGAGATTTTTCGGTATCACTTGGCGCTGAAAGCAATGCGCTCTCGTGTGCTGATATCTAGCCGATTCCTACCCATGCTTGGGTTGTATTTTATGGCACCTGGTAGCTAGTGTATACCCGCGTCTATTGGACAATGATGCTATCTTTTTTGCGACAAGATCTTGAATTGTGTTTTATACGAAATGTTCTCGTACTATCGTTATTTTTCTTGTGTTATGATACCCAGTTTTATCGATAATGAGCCATTATATGGCTGTCGGTTTAAATTAGTGAATGGTTATTAGCTAGTTCCGAGCGTAGCGGCTCCTTCAGGACTAGCGTACTTGTAGCACCTACAAGTACGTAGGGACTTAGCTAGCTATACCTACTTCTCTATATAATTTAATAATAAGAACTTAGTTACTATAATAGATATATAATACAAGTCTATTATATGTAACGAATACTCAAACTGGCTAACTAAACTTGGCTGGGTGTTCGCTGGTTGGTATGCTATGATAAGAAGAAGACTATCGGGTTGTTCACTTGGAAGTGAACTCGTTACTTGTATCAAAGATGTCAAACTGATATGATAAGATTGATAACTAAGTTGAGCACGAAGCTCCTATCTAAAGGCAGAAGTGCCAGTCTTATATAGCACCTTCGTTCTCGTGGAGCCTACGGGGAGCCCAAGATCCTCAAGCTCCAACGCAAGCTCCTGCAAGCTCCAACGATCATGAGTCAAACTGATATGATAAGATTGATAACTAAGTTGAGCACGAAGCTCCTATCTAAAGGCAGAAGTGCCAGTCTTATATAGCACCTTCGTTCTCGTGGAGCCTACGGGGAGCCCAAGATCCTCAAGCTCCAACGCAAGCTCCTGCAAGCTCCAACGATCATGTGACCCTATCACGTGATACTAACCGAATGAAATCCCTGGATCGCTTAGCTAGCCCAAGCGTCCCTATTTGCTATAAGAGTACTGATAGTGCTTGACCTTTCAGGACGCCGCCTGGTCTTCTCTTATCACGTGAACACGTGATTCGTGACATTATATTACTTATATATTAACGTAAAGTTAAACTAATACTAATTAGTAAGTTAATTAAACTTTAAGAGAATAGCTAACTAGAATAGGAGTATATTAGTTAATCTCTTTATACTTTATATATACGCGCTTATCGATTAGAGACTTAGTTACTATATATTACTCGCGGAGTATAAGTAGTAATAGTATTTTATTACTTATAAAGTATACTTTACCTATTATTTTCCTATAAAGAATAAGCTTTTTATAAATAGGATTAAACCTACTACTATTAAGTAAAAACCTAGTTATAGCTCCTAAACTTATATTAGAGTGGTTCTGGTGGTGTGTGGGAGGTAATGGGGGGGTTTTAAGTAAGCTATCTACTAAAGAGGCTTCGTACCTACTTATAGAGCTTATTATAAATAAGACTTGCTTTACTAAACCTAGTATTACTTTATATTATAAATAACTTTACTAGTATAATCTAAAAACTACTTTAAAACTACTTTTTTAAAAGTTCTATCTTTTATCTCTTCTACTATAAATTAGATAAAATAGCGCTAAGTCTTAACCTCTTAATTAAGCCCTTTAAGAAACCTACCTATATAAAGCCTTTATATAGACTACTTTACTACTATAAATACCCTTATAAACTAACTAAGATAATACCCTTCGGTTATACAGATAAGAACCTATAAAACTATATAGAAGAGCCTTAAGTACTTATATTTATAGATATTATATTACTAGTATACCTACTTTTAAACTTATAAAAGAGCCTTAAATACCTTATATTTACGCTTTTATACTACTAGTATAAGTAAGTAAGTAAGATAAGTAAAACTACCTTTATTTACTTTATATAAAAGAGCCTTAAAATACCTTATATTTATACTTTTAGACCGCTAGTATAAGTTATTATTCTACTAGTATAAACTTTTAAAAATAACTCGATATTTACCTTATAAAAGAGCCTTAGATACCTATGTTTATACTTTAAGTATCTACCTTAAATATAACTTTCTATATATAACTTCTACTATACTACTATATATAACTTTCTACGTATAAGTTACTGTTGTGCTGGGTCTACTTTCTCTTTTGCTCCACTTCCTTATTTGATCCACTTATAGCTCTGCTGCCTAAATGCTTCATGTCTGCCTAAACCTTACACTCTTTATATAAACACCTTAGATAGCTACCTTTTACAATGCAATCAATTCTCCATGACCTTCAGTACCCAATACCCTTTCAACCCAATAGTTACCTATAAAACAACCCCCTTTTAATAAATAAGATACTACCTCCTAACCTTATAGATCTAGAAGATCTTATAGATCTTTCTAATTTACTAGTACCTACTAACCCTAAAGTACCTACTAAGGCCTAGCGCTAAGCTACCGACTATATCTTATAACGTATTAATATATATAAGTAGGTTAAGGACTATAATAAGTTAATATTTTATACTTTTATAAATAACTTCGAACTAGAGAACTTCGGGGATAAGATTAAGGGTTAGAATAAGGATTACTTTAAATTAGTTAAGAAATCGGTTAATAAGGAGCTATATAAAATACTTCGAAATTAAGGTTTACTTATATAACTTAGAGGAGACGTAGCTAGGTATTTATAGGATATCCTAGGAAGAGGGAAGGAAAATAAGTTAGGATTTAGTTAGGATAACTTCTTACTAGCTAGGAAAGAGAAAGATATAATTAGTTAGGAGTTATTTAATTAGCTAGGAAACTTACTAGTATAAGTATAAACTATACTACTAGTATAAGTACGAATTATATCTTTAATATAAGTATAAACTATATTATAAGTGTAAGTATAAATTATATCTCTAAGTATTACGTTATACTTACGAGACTAATAACTATAACATATAAGGAGAAATAGACAAATATAATTATATAGGTTAGTTAAATAGATTTAGATAGATAGGATAATTAGATAGATAAGATAGATTAGATAGATTTAGATAGTTGGGTACTTTAGTTACTATTATAACCTATTCTAGTTCTTCTTTCTAAGTTATACTAGTATTAGTTTATATTAGTAAATAGTTATTAGCTAGTTCTAAGCGTAGCGGCTCCTTTAGGACTAGCGTGCTTATAACACCTATAAGTATATAGGGACTTAGCTAGCTACACTTGCTTCTCTATATAATTTAACAATAAGGACTTAGTTACTATAACAGATACGTAATATAAGTAAGTCTATTACATCACCCGTATATTGACGTAAAGTCAAACCAACAGTGGCTTTTGAGCTACACGGTCTCCTAGTGGACAAGAAAAGTCGCAGAGACTTCGTTTATCTTATCCTAACTTAACTAAAAAAAACTATTACTAATCAACATGGTCAATCCAAAACGATTGAACAGTATAGGCAATTGTTCTAGATATTTTAACCATTTTACTACTCAGAATTCACTTACACTAATAGTCAAAAATGAATCTCTGCCACTTTTCTTGTCCACTGGGATACGGTTTTACCTCAAAAACACCAGAACGCGTATATACATGGACTTCTTCTTTCAAGGGCCCTACCACTTGCCCTCATATTTGTCATTGAAGTCATATTTGCCATCTTTGGTATCACCCAACTACGATGTCGTCATCGAGAAGCGAAACAAAGACTGAATGAGGATCCCAAAACGTTGGATTTCAGACAGACGATTTTCATGGGACACCACTAACTCCGAAAATGGAAGGACCTTTTAACAAGGGGAATCTGGGGGGTATCTATGAAAATGCAGCTGCGCCAAAGTACGAGCTTTCTAATTCGTTGTCAGGTGGGAGTTAGGAGGTGGATGGCAGACTGGGAAATGAAGTAGAGATTTTGGCTGCGGGTACTGAGATAGATGGTGGTTTGAGACAGGAGCTCGAACATCCGATGACTAGTCTATCAAGGTATGGAGTTGAGGGTTCAATACCTCGATTAGACGAAAATTTGCTTGCCCATGAGTTGCCTGCTAGAAACGTGGCATCATTGGAGAGCGGTTGAAGTGAGAGGCCTGCGGGACTTGAAGGGAGATCTCACAAGTTTAAAAACTAAGCTTTTGTTTTTGGTGCAAGCCTAAGCATATCTATGTAGACTTTCAATGAAGACTATCGATGTTCATGGCATCTATCACTATACTGTCGCAAGTTGCAATATCACCGCAAAGAAATCTTGTATCTAGCTGCATTTGAAGTCAAGAAAACGTGTCCATCTAGGAAGTTCAAGGGGAGAAAACGGGGACAACCTTGGCCTCTGTCAGGGTGTATGATTAGAATCAAATCTGTTACAGCCTCCTTTGCTCCCTTCTCTTCATTATGGCCACGCAATAGGTAACAAAGGCTAGGCAGGTCCACATGTTTATATACTAGAATTCATAATAATAATTAAGGTCGGTCGAGGTATAAAGGAAATTAAGCGTAGGTATTATTACCCTTTCCCTCGTTGACTTGACATTGACTCGCAAGCCTCAAACCTGACTGATACAGCCTGGGTACCTATATATTACTATGAGATCAAGCTCCTATGAGTGTAAAGCTTAGGTCAATTGGAAGTCTAAGCCTGCTTGATCTAAGAAAAAGACTACTCGGTAGTGATTACACAAGCAGAGCAAGGACTGAGCAGGACCCCTTTTCTCACAGAAGAATATCACGGAGTTTCTTCATCAAACAACTTTCTCATGCCACGTTCCACCTGTCAAATATCACTTCTGTCGATTCGTTGAAAGATCCGTCATACATAACTAATCAGAATGCCGTGCTTCGGAAGCGCAACCTGAGAATCTTCTATTCACAGACTGGACTTGTATACTACCTATACTTCTAGCTCACTGATCCTGCCATCTTCTCTGAGGCGACAATCCAGCACTTAGGTAGATTAATTAGGTTGTTTCCCAATCGCAGAAGAATCTAGACAGGGCATACATAGTGAATCTGCAGTTCACAAGCGACAACTAGCGAAAAAGAAAAAATCACCTCCACCAATAAAAGTTAGGAACAGGATTTCAACAAAATACAGAAATACTAAAAGAAAAGGCCCCCCCACATCCCAATTTTTTTATAAACTTTATAAAGGCGAAAGGCAAGCTCTCCAACCGAGTATCAGCGGTCCCCTTGACATCTAGTCTGCTAATTCATGATATAAAGTCTGTCGACTGCAGAGTAGTAGGACTGATCTGTGAGAATCTGAGCAACTTCACGAGATATGCGAGATACAATTTATGAGGAGCGTATCAATCTTGATCACCAAGAACTTATCTTAGCTCTACTCTCTTAGTAGTTGTACAGTACAGATACCAGACAGTGGAGTAAAACGCACCTAATGAACACGCGTAATCTTACCTATATGAAAATTTACACCTGACGACACCAATTACTCCACAAAAGCCCAAAAATCCAAATTCACCCCCTAAAAGACTCAGATACTCAACAATTGCCGAAAGTAAAGTGCATTCGGCACTCACATACCAGTGGCTGCGATGCTTGTACAACCACAATCTACTGAAGACTCCCTCTCGAAACCGTGCAACCACAAGAAAAGAAAATCGATGGCGGAAAATATCAACTCTATTCACTGATCTTAGGGAACGCACATATATACAAGACAAGACGGCAAAAATTATAAACAATAATTAGTGGAGTAAGTCCGCAGACCAAAAAAAAAGAACATCCCATAATCCCGACCTCTCCCAACCTTCCAGAACACCTCCCAATCCAAATTGTCATCCAACCACCACCGCTGACAAAATAACATAAAAGAAGGGCAATCGCCAAATCAACATCGGCATAAAAATGTCCACCCCCTCCCCCCTTCCTCATCAAAAACCACAACCCACACTCCTTCGGAAAGGATCCGAGAACCCCATCCATCCCATCTCGCTTAAGCAGACATCCAGGGGCTCATCACCAACCATCACACCAATCACACACTCCAGACCCCACATCACAGCTCCCTATGGAACCAAAATTCTCCGGAGGCCGCAGATCCCAAAAAGCTTCGTTGCTTCGGATATATTGCTGTTGCAGGGACGAAGTATTTCTCCGTCCAGACAATGGACAGTATAATTTGGGTTGCTTGCGGCGCGGCGCGGTCGTCGACCGTCTGGCATCCTCCTAGGAGATTGAGAGATTAGCTGGTTGGTTTTTGAGTTAGCTGGTTTGTTTTAAGATGTCGTCTGTTCTCTTCCCAAAGACCTCTCTCTCTTTTTGCTCTCCATCCACGTATTTGGATAACCCACTGTCATTATCTCCCATACATCACATCGAGAATACCCCATAGAAGAAGAGAAAAGAAGCACAGTCTTCGTCCAGTCCTTACTTCCCATCTTCTCAATCAAGAAACGAATTAACCTTCCCAAAAATGTTGTTCTCCACCACCCTCGCAGCAACAGCTGTCATCTCCCTCGCCAACGCAGCAGTTATGGGAAAGAGAGCCCTCATAGGAGAAGCAACATTCTACGGCGGAAATGTCCAAGGAGGAACCTGTTCTTTCTCAACTTACACCATTCCCTCCTCTCTCTACGGCGCCGCGCTCTCAGATTCGAACTGGGATAACTCTGCAAATTGCGGTGCTTGTATCTCAGTGACCGGTCCTTCAGGAAATGCCGTAACCGCAATGGTGCGTACATTTACTATCAAAATCTCCGGCTGGATAGATAGCATACTAACAAGGTTAAATTTATAGATTGTAGATCAATGTCCAGGCTGTGGCACAAACCACCTCGATCTCTTCCCAACCGGATTTTCCGCCCTCGCAGACCCTTCAAAGGGTATCATCCCCGTATCATGGTCATACGTCGATTGCCCCATCACCGGCCCCCTTCAATTGCACAATAAAGAGGGGGTGTCGGCTAACTGGTTCAGCATGCAAGTCGTCAACGCCAACAAAGCAGTAAAAAGCTTGGAGGTCTCGACCGATGGAGGCAGCACCTGGAAGTCGACAAGTAGACAAACATACAATTTCTTCGAGAACTCTGCTGGATTCGGGACCACGACTGTTGATGTCAAGGTGACTAGTTCGAGTGGGGAAACTGTTGTTGTGAAGAATATTGTCGTTTCGCCGGGGGCTAGTACCACTGCTGGTTCGAACTTTGGATCTTCTGGAAATGTGGTTGCTGCTGCTCCACCCCCAGTATTACCCCCATCTCCACCTGCTACTCCTGTTTTGGAAGCTCCTGTTTTGGAAGCTCCTGTTGTCCCTACACCTGCGCCTGTGGTACTGGCTACACCAAATGCCCCAGCACTTACCACTACCAGCTCTTCCAAGAAGGCAACTACTCTAGCTTGGATACCCAAACCAACTTCTGTCGAGTTGGATGCTTGTGGACAAGAGATTTGAGTCTTGTGAGAATTGAAACGATGAAGAAAGGTGATGCTGTAACGAAATTAATTTCGATGTATATAATTACTAGATCTGGTCCCCAATGGCAGGAACCAGGGATGATGCCAAATACAAAATGTATCACTTGATTCTGATATTTGATGATGTAAAACCCCAATTCGAAGACCACCTCTGCAAGCTCTACATGGAAATGAAATTGAAAACAGGACGGAGAGGTTACTTGAAAATCATCGAAGAGATACATTTGAGGTCCACCGAAGTGAGAAAATGTTAGAAGAGAAAACGAAAAGGTAGCGCATGAGGTGCCTGACCTGGCTTCTCATACGTAATGGTAGAGGTGCAGAATAGTGATAAAAGGTAGAAACGAATCATGTGTTAAATTTCCACCCATTCCAGAGTTAGTTGGTCTACCAACAAAAACAGACCTTTCCATGCCTAACGCCAATTTGAGAAAATGCGAATCAATACTTAATCACCCCCCAGGTCAGCAATTGTACCCAACTTCTTCCCAGCTTGGGTTGCAGCGCCGGTTCGTCTGGCTGCGGGCGCATTCCCACCACTGCTGTTCCCAAACGTGACTTTCCCTTCATTATGAACATTAAAAGGGCTCTCCTCGGCAGCCCTAGTCGCATCCAAACTGAACAAGCTGATAAAGTAAAGTCCAAAAAACATAATCACCGCGTCAAGATAGCTCTTGAAGTTGACAGGACGGTTGAGCGAGGCTCTTGGTGTTCCGCCGAGTGTGCGACCTGCCGAGGAGAAGGTTGGCTGCGTCGGACCAGCAAGCTTCACAGCATTCTCAACCGCAGTAGTAAGACCTGCGCGGTCGGCGCCTTGAATGGTTTGAATTACGGATCCGGACCGGAAGATCAGGAAAGTTGGCATGCTGTCATACTATCAGAGGGGACCTATGTTGGGAGGTGGCACAGTAACACATACGCTCGGACGCCATATTGTTGCGCGATTGCTTGTTGGTTATCGACGTTGACTTTGGTAAATGTGATTCGATTTGGCTTCGCATACTTGGATGAGAGACCCTCGAAGGTCGGAGAAATTGCTTTGCAGGGTCCGCACCAGTCTGCGTAAACTATGTGAATCAGTTAGCTGGAGGTTCATGGAGGATTTGTAATGTAGGAGCTTGTAAGTACAGTCTGTAACCACGATAGAAGAAGTGCTGAGTATCTTGCTAAATTCGGAAGAAGATCCGATGGGTATTGTGGGCGACATGTTGTATTTTACTTGGAGGGGTAAAGAGTCGTAGCGGTAGCTGTAACTGTGTAGTTGTTTAGGAGGGGGAGATCTGGCGTGTCTAGGAGGTAGTACTCGAGTACTGTACGAGTAGGTAGGAACTGATTGCGCCTTATCGGTGAATCAGCACAGGCCCTCGCCATCCTGCCCCTTGGATTCGGCCGAACTTTACCCATTGTACATAAATAATTTCCATTCTTTACGAGTAGAGGAACATTGACACCATTTGCGACAAGACACAAAATGGGTAGAGGAGAAACAAATGCAAAGGTAGAACCTATATTTGCGACGAATATTAACATTGGTCTAATTGATTATTGCAGAAGCGGAAACGCCAATCGGAAAAAGTAGAAGTCAAGTCTATTGCCTCAGCAGCAGTTCCAGCTCCTCAAAACGCGGCGGTGATCGATACCTCGAAGCCCACAGTCATATTCCAGCCAGAAAAAGGGAGAGATTGGACTGTGAGCGTGGCCCTTCCCGGGAGTATAATTGCAAAGTAGGTTTTGCTGTTGGCGCATATGCAATGGCTTTAGCTAACTCATACAAGTGCGCAATCCCATGAATCTCGAACGTCCCTCGCAGGCCATGTCGCTCGAGCTCTCTCGGTCTTCTGCGTCGATGAAGTCATAGTATTCTCAGATGGACACGGTCAATCCAATTCCGCCAAAAGACATCATAAGCGTACACACTCTCATGCTCACCAGAACGACTCTTCCCAAGACGAATATACTGGCACGTCAGATCCATGCCATTTTTTGATTCACCTGCTGAGCTATCTCGAGACGCCCCCACATTTACGAAAGCTCCTCTTTCCACTACACTCAAACTTGCGAACTGCGGGCACATTGTCGAGTTTGGATTTACCCCATCATCTGAAGCCCGATGAATGGTGCCCATATAGAGAGGGAGTTACGTTACCAGGTGCTGACGAGCATGGAACCTTCGTCGAGGCAGGATTGAGAATACCAGTCACAGTCAAAGATCAGATACCGGAAAATACCAGAGTTACATTGAAGTTTGATGCTGAAGCAGAAGATGCATCCAAAAATATTAAGAGCGAGGTCATAAATGCCGAACCAGTTGGTCCGGAGGAACCGAGGGAAGAAAGTGGTTATTATTGGGGATACAGTGTCAGAAAAGCCGCATGTCTAAGTGATGTATTTACAGAATGCACATACGACGGCGGGTACGATGTAACTATTGGAACTTCCGAGCGAGGTATTGATTCTCAGCAACTCTACTCGGGAAGTGAAGAAGAGAAGGTGCGAGGTTTCAAACATCTTCTCGTTGTATTTGGGGGAGTAGCCGGTTTGGAGGTTGCAGTCAAGAACGACGGAGAATTTCAGAAGTTGGGTGTGACAGAGGCAAAGGATGTATTTGACAGATGGGTCAACGTCTGTCCGGGACAAGGAAGTAGGACAATTAGAACCGAGGAGGCAGTCTGGATTGGCCTGATGGGGCTGAGGAGATTAGTGGTCGAAAATAAATGAGCCGATTTGAACGATTGGTTAGGTCCCGAGAGATTCTAGGAAATTGGTCTTACTGCTCGTTCACGAACGTTCCAAGGATAGAAGCATCAAAAGGAAATGCTCACTCGAAATTTCAAATCGAATTCGCTGTCTTACAACAATATATGGCCACCAGAGTAAGTAGCTCAGACTACATACAGTAATACATACAGAAAATACTTATACCCTCATTCCACGGTTGGATATCTTGTGTGTCATATGAATTTAGTCTCTAAGAGCGAGACTTCCGATTATACTGGCCGCTTTCCAGATGTGCTGCCAGCATAACCGACGACGGCCATAGTTAAGAAAATACATCCATTTCAAAATTCTGCGAAGCGACGTTTGCCTAGAACTCTCACTGTACCTCCAGCGGGAAGTTGGAGCTTACCCAGGTAAGAACATTTTCTTGTGTGCTACCTGGACTATACTCTTGCATGAACCTTGTTACACGTACTTGTTTTCAGTCCTATCATTAGTCCTATGACGACCGTAAGTGGCTTACTGACAACCAATTGAATTCGTTCTTCTCCCCTGATGTATGATACTTTCTCAGCGCTTTCAGCTTCACATTCTCATCCTGCACCTTTGTGTACATGGCATTCTCTTCCTCTACGACGGTCTAAATTAATGCTCAAAAGGTTGCGGTAAAGAGCCTTATGTGCCATCTTGTCTTATCCAACACTTTTGTCTTCGAGTCACGGTCGAAATGTTTCAATGAGTCAACTCCAAGATTCGGAAAGAGAGTGTAAGCAAAGCACTCGCTTCGCCATAATACCTGAGCACAACAGATAGATGGCTTGACCTGCATAGTAGGACAGTGCGGCGTTGCTCCGTAAGAAGGAGGGTCAGATGCGGAACCAGCAGGGCACTTTGTAGTAGATTAAGCAAATGCTACACGTCCTTCGGGACTAGGCAGCGCAGTAGTCAAGAATAGACACTCTACCTACAATCTAATATCTCCGTACACACCTAGCGGCGGGCACTTATTTTAGTCTAGCGCAAGAACCAACGCTAATTTAGTACTATGAATAAGCTTCTTTCAAACCCTGAACCCTGTTATACACTTTAACCAACTTTCTTTTATAATAGGTCCTCGATTAGGTCTTCTATAGAGCCTAATCGCTAATAACGAGAGGAGTTCAAAACTTCTAAACGAGTAATTATCCGATACCTTAAGCGAATAGGTTTACCCCCTTAAGAGATTAGTATACGTTAGTTTATATAGCTATCTAATTTAAGGTCTAGCGATAGGTAAAAAACGAATCAACTAAGTTGTCGGTTATTTCTACGTCTAAGAAGGATATAATTAAGGTTCTAAAGAAGCTCTAGAAGGAGGTAAAACTAGAGGATTAGCGATATCTAATATTACGTCTTACTTGTAAAATAGAAGACGTAATTAGGTGTAAAGGCTACTATGTACTAGATATGCAAAGTAAACCTTAATTTTCATTTGCTATACGTTATATACTAAAAACTAGCGTTGTGGTGGACTTATATTAGCGTAAACTAAATCGTGTACGGAGCAACGCCCAACTGTCTTACCTTGCAAGTGCAGCTTAGAGGTTCCCCACAAGATAACTGGCGTCGAGAACGACGGTCATGAATAGTCGAGGCCCCCTCTTAGTGGCTTGACAGCCTCATCTTCTGTCAGTACCGCTTACGGTGCTTGTTTTCTATCACGATAGTGCGGACTTTCAGCTTGTCCGTTTGTAGGCAGCAACGCGTCCTTTTCGTACAGTATTTCGGTGGGAAGCCCTCTCTTGCTGGTGGTTGTACATGCTCAAAAGACCATCGGATGGCTAATTGACACTGACTCTTCAAAGTTTGAGATTCTGCGCGAAATGGCGAAAACACTATGCGCTATATTGTTGTTTACGCAAATATCTCTGCAGCAGGATCCGAGCCCAGAATCAACTGTTGGGTTCTGCCGACGGTTTGCACATCAATCTTGTGTGATTGATCGGCGATTGTATATCGATGGCGGCCTAGTTAATTATCAAACTGCCAATGACGATAGTCGCAACGTTACAAGTAAGTGCCATTTTTCTTGCTGTGTGAACTACACCCCTGTCCTTCACAGTACGTTCTCATATGATGTGATATATATGTCCAGGCTGACTGAGCTTCCACTCAAAGATAAATGGTTACTCTACAACGACCTCGATAATATAACCACCAATGACTTCCCACAGTTAAGAGCCAAACTTTCCAAAAACGCATCCATCCCAGATGTCAGCGGTGGAGTACTGTGGGCGGATTCGATTAACAAAAGATTCTACCTGTTCGGCGGGGAATATACGGATGGCAGCACGCCTAATGCCCCGAATCTCCTGGCATACGACGTCCTCAATAACCAATGGGACTCTTTCGGATCTCCCAAGGAAAGCATTCTTAGCGTTTCGTGGGGTAGTGGAGTAGCAGTTCCTGAACTGGGTGTGGCATACATACTCGGTGGATGGCAAAGCAATAACTCAGTACCCGGATGGAGCGGTCCTCCATTCGCCACCAGTCATCTGGTTGAGTATAAAATGGATAGCCAAGTATGGCAAAACACCTCAGGGCCGGATACTACACCAAAGGTGGAGGGGGTACTGACATATATACCGGCTGGCGAGCGTGGTCTCTTGGTATATTTTGGGGGAGCCACGGTGTCTGAAAATGGTACTGTTATTCCTTCGCCAATGAGCAAGATTTATTTATACGATGTTTTAAGTATGAATTGGTATACACAGACAGCTAATGGCGATCTTCCTGCTGCGAGGAAGAGGGTTTGTGCTGGTGCGGTTTGGGCAGCTGATCATTCATCCTATAATATGTATGTGTCAGTTATTCCACTTCTAAGTGGATGTCTTTACTGACGATTATAGATATCTATATGGTGGCCTTGGATTTGGAACGAACTCTTCAGGTTATGACGACGTATACATCCTAACACTCCCATCATTCCAATGGATCCGCTGGTGGCAATTCGAAGGAGATGAAGAAGGCAAACCCCACTATTCCCTCACCTGCAACGTCGTCGGATGACAAATGCTCATCATCGGCGGTACCTTCCCACTGAAACCCCCGGATCAACACTGTGACAGTCCCAATACCTGGGGAACCCACGGTCTCGATCTTGGAAAACAGAGGGGCCCGATATGGAACAATTACCGCGCGAATCTAATTTCTTATGTGGTGCCACCAGAGATCATTGCTTAGTAGGCGGTACACCCCAAGGTAAAGCAACGGTTTCGTCGCCGTCTGGTGGGTTCAATAATTCGGATCTGGCGTCTTATTTCTCGCGGACGGCTTCGATTCCGCTGAGAGCGCCGACACCAGGACGTGTTATGCCATCATCTACATCTAGTGGAAAGACGCCGAGGAAGCTATCAACTGGTGCCATTGCCGGAATAGCAGTTGCCGGTGCCGTTGTATTATTTGCCCTGGTAATAGGTATCTTTCTGCTCTGCTCAAAACGATATCGTAGCCCCCCAGATACTCCTCCCAAATTTCTGGCTCCCCAACAGCTTCCTAGCCACTCTCCGAGCGAGGTCTCTCCATTTTCGCAGTCGTTTTCGATGGCCCCGCAACAGGCTCCTGCTGAATTGGATGTTGATACTCGGCTTAGATCATAGTTCTTTATTTTTATTATTATTATTAGAGCGCTTTGAGTTCGATGTGTCTGCGGGTTATTTTGTGGTTTTGGTCTATTGTTTTTGGGGCGTTGGAGTTGTTGTTTAAGGTTTTCTTTGAAGGTTTACGATGGGTGGTCTTTTCATTTGTGACGTTGTACTTGGTGAAGCTTTTGAGTATGGTATTAGCTGTGAGCACACAAGTACCAATTAACTTGAGAAAACCAGAGAGATTTTATTACAGCAAGGTCTTTATTGTTATACGCTAGAGGAAGAGGAATAAATGTTTAATATATAGCGAGCTAGGTTTCATGTACTATGAATCTCCTTGATAATTATAAAAGTTGGTCTTTAGATACTCTAGATGAGACTTATAATGAGTTTTGCCATCTACTTCTAGTAATAATAGGAACGTTTGTTAGTATATATAACTGGTTTTGTAACTTATTACAAGGGTTAGTTTAGGCGGGTTTAGTAACGAGTTAGTATTAAATAAGATATACAATAATAGAATAAGGAGAATATATAGCATTTAAATAGAATACGATATTAAATGTTACTTAAGCTAGGCTTAATTAAGTTAATAAGTACACCAACTTTTATTAGAACTAATAAGTCTTAGGCCCCCCTTGTCGCGGATAGGGTTGTTAAATTAGATATAATTTAAATAAATTATCTATAATTATTAAATTAGGCGATTATCTAAAAACAAATTATTTATAAATTATATGTATCACGTGAAATCAACGGGGCGGAAACCCTAGAGTCTCTATAAAGTCCATGAAGAGAAACTCGATAAACTCGAAAGGGCGCTTTTATAAATAAAATAAGAAGATAACAAAGACAAAAATAGATAATAGTAATATAAAGATTAATAATTCGAGTAATAACAAATATAAAATAAGAAGATTAGCTATTTGGCTAATTCTTTGAATTAAGTACTCTTTTATATCTAATTTTATTAGCCTTGTTAGTAATTTTACAAAGCGTTACTAAGTACTTCTATACCCTTATTTACCCCTTGTTTCACCCCCCTAAATACCCTATATTCATTACCAAGATCTAATATTAGACCCTAAATCTTTGATTATTATAAATTAGACAAAAATAAATTATAATTAGATTATCTAAAATTAGATCCCACAACCCTAGTCGCGGATTCCATTTAGTATACTTCTTGGAACGAACTTAACCACGAAACTATTACTAGAAATCGATGTTAGAACTTATCTAATGAGAATATCGCATTTCGTACAAAAATCAAATTGAATATACTTTAGTACCCTCGGGTACTCACAATAATTTACCACGTGGTCAATTACCACAATCGGACTAGCGCGGGGGTCATTCGGGGGAAGGAGCCGACAGTCGCGACTTATATCCTAGTCCGACGCGCTTTACCCACTACATGTACTACTTTGTAGTAGTCTTTTGAACGCGCTTTTTGTCATTCAACAACTCCGTTTCTTTTCGCTGTACAGAAAATTTTCTAAACTTCTACACACAATGGACGAAGACGAATTGCCTCTCCCCAAGCTGGCCTGGGATCCTTCGACTAATTCATTTACAAACCATCGATCGCGCAAACGCACGAGAAGTACTCCACCTCCGTTTTCCAGTGATCCGGCTCTATTTTCGAGCGACGACGATCCCTCTGCAGACAATTATACGCAAGAAAGACGGAAGAGGAAATTTCGAGGACCATGGTATCAGCAAGTTCCGGCAGATGAAGCGGACCAGAAGAAAGCAAAGCGGTCATTTCAAAGACAACATGATAGTGGGGTTTTTATGGGCAGTGATGGCACGGATTTGGATGAGCCTTTCGAACATACCGAATTAAAACTTCCGTTACTTCCATTGAGGCGTTCCCGTCTTCAAGCCCAGCTTCAGAGCTCGCAGCGATCGGCAGAAGACGCTGCCCGGGAGGAAATAGAAAGATGTTTGGAAAGCGGGGATGAGACCATTGAGTTATCGTAGGTCTTCTATGCGTTCTTCTCTTTTCAATCTAATTCAATTGTAGATCTCGGGGCTTGACAACTTTATCTAATGCCACGATACGACCACTTGCAACATTTACGCGCATTTCGGAACACGGGTTTTCGCAGTTAAAGCCTAGTCTGAAGGTTTTTCTTGCCTCCAATGATTTGACAAATCTGCCGGAAGAACTTTGCAAGCTCGAGTCATTGAGTTTCTTGAGTTTACGGAATAACGTGTTTCGGGAGCTCCCTCCAGCTATTGGACATCTTCATAATTTGAAAGAGTTGAATATTGCGAATAACCGACTTCGATACCTACCTTTTGAGATACTGGAACTGTTTTCAACTGTCAGCCACCTGAAAGATTTGCGGCTACATCCAAACCCATTTTTAGAACTTCCACAGGATCAACTGGATGACGAGAGTTCCCAGCCAGAATCCGATGAACAACACACGTCTTCGCGCTCGCAACATGGCGTAAAGCATGCGTCTTTGACTAGTAGGATCTTTGCCCCATATGAATGGAATCCCGAATGGACAGCAACATATAAATCTCGAACGGACGTCAGATATCTAGAGTCAAACGGTACATTCGTCAAAGGTCCGGACTTTTCTAGCTCCGATGACTCCGATTCCGAATCAGGCTCTAGTATGTTGTTGGAAGCAGTGGATAGTATTCCTGTTCCACCAGAGCCTCGGGGAAATTATAATTCCAGGGCACCATCTTTGCTGGAGGTCGCCTTGAAAACATGCTCTCAATCCCCTCAACTTCCAAATCTAGCGTCCTTCTTACACGAGGAATGCCCCGAGTATTTGTTCAGCCTGATGGCTAATTTAGAAGCAAAGAAAGAATCTGGGGGAAGCAAATGTACGATATGTAAGAGGACTTTCTTCATGCCGAGAACCGAGTGGATTGAGTGGTGGGACATTGCAAAGACTGTGGGAACGGCGAGTGCTAGTCCCTCGAAACCAGGAAATCAAAGAGATGCCGTGGAAAGAATAATTCCGTTGATGAGAAGAGGTTGCAGTTGGCTATGCGTACCAAAATCTGGGGATACTGGGGTATCCGATCAGATGGCACTGGACTGAGATATTTGGACATCTCAGTTGTAAATACCTAAGATTTGTTTTGTGAATATGGGCATTTTGAAGCCAGGCGTTTGGAGTATTCTTTGGAAGGGCATCTGGAATCAGGGATGTACAAAAGATATGTTGGGTCCAGTTGGTGTTTTGTTATCAGTCAGTCTTGTATGCAGGTGCAGGAGAGTTGCGCGCTCTGCAGATCCTCAGTCGGCCTAATGCCTAGGAAGTTGCCGAAGATTATCTGATTCCGATGGTGACCCCCAATATATTTGTATCATACAACAAATCATGACGGCGGGCGGGTTGCAGATGGTGGGTCGTCCATGGTATGACCTGTATCTAACCCGCTCCCGGGGAATCATCTCAAGAGTGGGTTCGAAATCGGTCTCCCCTATCTCTCGCCTCGCGAACTTCCGCGATACTAGATAAGTATTTTTTGGCCCCCAGAATAGGCGCATAACTTATAAAACGTGGAGTCTCTCTTACATGTGTTTCCTTGTCCCCTTTGCATAGTTCTGTTTCGCGTGATTTTCAGCTTGTTTGATTGTTACATCATGGTCGCAATTGAAGATCAAGCCGCGCCTGGGACGGTCCAACTTATTGATGCAGATGGACATCTTCACGTCAAACATTCGGCGGATGCACATGATATCGTTCTTGTCCCCAGACCCTCTGGTAATTCCATCCTCTACTTCGACTTCTTCCCAACAGAATTATCATTTCTAACATTGTCTCTTTGAAGATGACCCCGAGGACCCGCTGAACTGGACCAAGAAGCGGAAGCTCGTTCAGACGTCATGTGTTGTCATGTACACTGTCATGATGGTCTTCCCTTCCTCGGCTGTCTACTCTGTCACGACGCCGATTGCTAGGGCGACGGAGTTGAAAGTCAGCGATTTGGTTAGTGGGACCGGGGCGATGTTTTTGTTTTATGGGTGGGGGTGTATAGTTTGGCAGGCTCTGGCTTTGCAGTAGTAAGTCACATTTTGCTTTCCAAAATGGTTTCGCAGGGGACAATTGGGTGGTTTTCAGAAGATGCTGATTTTGAGATATTACAGTGGGAAGAGACCGGCGTATTTGGTTAGTATGGCTGGAAGTATTATTATTATGGCTTGTGCGCCGCTGTGTACGACGAATGGACCGTATTTGGCGAATAAGATTTTGCAGGTTTGTGGAGCTCTGGTGATTTGGAGGAGTAGGAGCTGACTTTTTATAGGGGTTTTTTGGGGCGCCTGTGGAGAGTTTGTGTGAGATTAGTATGACGGATATTGTAAGTTTGACAAATCTTTTTTGTTGAGAACGAAAACATGACAGAGAGTGAGAGTTCGAGGCTTTGTAGAGAGTAGACTGACATTGACTTTTATAGTGGTTTGCTCATGAAAGACCTCTTTACCTTGCGGTGTATGGACTAAGTCTTGCCTTTTCTGGGAAGTTTGCTCCGGTCTTTGCTGCCTTTATAAATACGGGCCAAGGATGGGAGTGGACACTTTGGTGGTGTGCCATTGGGATGGGTATCTCATTTCTCTACTGTTTCTTCCTGATGGAGGAAACGAATTATGATCGTCATTTTCCTTCAACCCTGAGCAGCGACGGATCTAGCACCGAAGCTGTCAGCGAGCCAGTCATTTCAGCAGCAGGAAAGTCCGAGAAGAAAATATCTAGCGAAAATACTCGAGGGGTTGGTAGCCCAGAGAGTTTGGAAACTGGCCAGGTCGTGTATCCTCGAAAGACATATCTACAAAAGTTGAGTGTCATCGACAAAAAGCGACCAAACCGAGTATGGGATATTATGTTGGCACCTTTTAAGTTCTTCAAGTTTCCAGTAGTAGTCTGGGCTGGGTTCATGTACGGCACGAATGGACTAGTGTGGCCAGGAATTCTGAACGCCACCGCTGCACCACTGTATACAGGCACATATCACTTCAACAGTAACGACATCGGCTATGCATACTTTGGAGCTGTAGTCGGAATGGCTCTCGGTTCCCTTTGGGTCACTTACGCCGGTCCACTGCTAGTCATAAAGCTCGCACGACGCAACAAAGGAATCGCGGAACCAGAGCACATCCTCTGGCTCTTCCTCGCGTCCCTGGTCTGCGTGCCTTTCGCAATGCTCCTCTGGGGTCTTGGAAGCGCAAACCATATCCATTGGTTTGGACTTGTGTTCGCACAGTGTGTCCTGGCTATTTCCTCGACGCTATCTCTCTCTACTGCGATCCAATACGCTACTTCGTCATACCGGGAACTTTCTGGGGAACACATCACGACGATTATTTTGATTCGGAATACGCTTAGTTTTGCGATTAATTATGGGATTACGCCGTGGATTGAGGAGCAAGGGCAGAGAGATACGTTTATTACTGTTGCGGCGATTAGTCTGGTTTGTAACGGGACTATGTTTTTGATGTTGTGGTGGGGGAAGAGGTTGAGGGAGATTAGTGCTCCTACTTATTGGAGATGGGTTGCTAAGGCGAGGGCCAAGGGATTGAGCCATTGAAAGAGGAATGCCTTGAGAGAGGAGATCGTTGAAGACCGGTCTCATTCGTATGCAAATGGTAGAATTGACCAAAGTATTTTGAATTGACATCTTTAGAAAGATACTTAAAATGTCAAATTTATCAATCGCTGATCTTTGTTCAATTGACTCAATCGTTCTGTATGTTTTAGATTAAATCTAGTTGCTAGATAGTATCCAGATATTGAGTTACCTAAACAGTATTTATTAGCAACCATTAAGCGAGAGCCCTTATTTTTCGATTTTCCAGTTTTTCACCAACAATATACCTTCAGTTAGGCTTATACTTAGGCTAAGTATATGGCTAGCGAGCTACGAGGAGAACTTGTCTAGACCTTTAAATCGTTAAGGATAAGATACATTAGTCCCAACCCGGCTAGACAGGAACTCGGACCGGGAGCTAGCATCTACATATACACATTGTAGGACAGCCTCAATATGCCATGTTTCGAACCCCATTTCATTGCTCAGAATATTCATTAGCAAAATTATTGTCGAATTCACTATGTTCGGAAAATATCGTTGGATCTGAATTGGGCAATAAACATATTGGGTGGATAATGCATAGCAGAGCAGATAAGACCCAATGAACCAAGTTCAACTTAGTAAAGTCATAAACAATGTAGCATACTTGTCATTGTTGTCAGTTTCAAAAGCCATCAAAATGCTCAAGATCAACCCCTGGAGCCTGACATCCGCTATCCAAGAGCTGCATAGATTTCATAGCTGAGCTCGCTAATAAATCCTGCTCAAGCCCCTCCCACCAGCTACCAAGCATAATCCCTACCCAAGTATATTATAAAAACCTTCCGCTCATACCTGAAACAAAAAGATGTCCGATGAGCATTTCCGAGCTCTCAAAAACCCTGTAGAGGCTTGACGACACCTGCGCGAGAGCATGGTTGGAAGTCTGCGTTTTCGAGGCTGCTTAATATGGAATTGAAGCAGTAAGAAACGCACCTCGTATTGGCATCTGCATAGATAGGAAGTTCTAGGTATTTGATCTCACTCAAAAGTCTGTTTGCAACTATTGCGGCCAATTAGCATGCAGCCGAATGAAGACTCCAGACTGGCGAGACCTATCTTTCTATTGTAGTATTGCTACGGTAACATATCGCTAGACAGGGGCAACGAGAAGGGTACACACAGTGCCTAGTCTATATGATGTAGTATTCGGGACCATCGAGATCCGATATCGCTCGGGGTTACAAATGACTCAAGAGGTTTCCCAAAGTGCAGTTCCAGTAATAACGCCTCAAGGGCAAAAACAACGGGGTTCTGGTACGGTACAGATACTTCTTCCGAAACAGCGCTTTGCGATGCTGGTGTTCCTTTGAACACGAATAACTTTCAGAAATAAGAGTGCTTTGCTTGACTTTGACCACTGGCGTCTCCGATCAAGTAAAGTTTGTTCAAAAATCGATGGTTTGGAAACCATTGAGCATTTCCCACACTTCAAAGAGAACCTCATATCGAATGAAGACGAAGTAGCACAATATCCTTTACTTGGATATGCAGCAAAGTACTGGCCCTTTCACCCAAGATGCGTCGATGATCAAAGCCACACCAGACGCGTCAAACCACGTATCACTGACTTTTTCAGCCATCCTCATTCGATGCTTACTTTGCTAAGGGTGTTTGCTCTGAGTTACCAAATCAAAAATGGCAGATCTCTGAATCTTCTTCATTGTAGCTCTTCTGAGAATTATGTCAAGTGCATTCAGCTTTCGAGAGAAACACTCCGCAAAATATCCCCGTATATTCCAGAGTATTTGAGACTTTCCACCACCTTAATCGTACACTGTTGGTTACTTTAGACTCACAATCAAAGATTCTCCACCTCTTTCTTCCAAATATCAGATGAAGCAGCAGCTAAGGCTAAAGTGTCAATACGCAATGAACTCGAATTGGCTACGGGTGAATTGGCGGCTATAGTCTATCATGCCAGTATTGCAGATATCTCAGAGCCTCTAGGCATTTTTCTCGCCTTTGGGGCCGAGTCAAATAATCGAGGCGGCTTGTACAGGTACCCACTCCAAGGACCAGCATTACAAATTACCTCCGAGTGTGTGATTTTACTCCTGAAGCATGGAGCGAACTTTGACGCAATTGTCGGCGACTGTAGCTCTGCACTGGGAGCAGCTGTTGCCAGGTCCTGTCCTGTGGCACTAATTATTAAAGATTCACTTATCGCTTGATACTACCCTTACAACCACAACGTAGTAGTAGACTAGTAAATTAAAATACCACGAAAAAGCAACGAAAAAAAAGATATACTATAAGTTTTTTTTTTCCTAAAGAGAATTAGTACTTGCTTTTTTAGGATTTAAGGAAAAACTTACTTTTACGTACGACCGAGCGGTTTGACGCTTGACCATGGCGCGTCCAAATCTTTTGCGGAGGAAACAGTTAAGTGGTGCTGGCGCTTATGGTGTATATGGGAGCACACACTATCTGACTGGGCCAGGTGTGCAGGTTTAATCCCAGTTTTGATGACAGTGGCTGTCTTATTTCGCGATATGAAGATTCTTTTGCGACTTTTGTGGGGTTTGGAGCTACGTGAGGAGTTCCGATTGGTTGCTGAGGTGGGGGATCTTCGGATTTTACCTGGCGGGGCATTGACCAGGCGACTGGAGGTACCCAGAAACGACAGACCAGAGCAAGTGACGAGGTTGGGTGGCAGACAGGAAATAGCGAGCATCAGTGGAGGGCGTTAGTCTCTATAGCTAATGGAATACCTACCCAGATCCCTTGCAGACCACAGATCCTGCCGCAAAACAAACGTCCTCGACGTGCACTCGCAGAAGACACAAGTGGATGCGATAACTGGGTAGAATTTAGGCTCGAATCCTTAGGACCGAGTCCTGGTTAGCCCGAGGAATATGTTTTATAAGGAAGATGTCTTAGATGTGGACACCTTTACTCCACCAAGGAGTACACGTTTTTTTTTTGTGGCTCTGTGGTCTGGAGGGGATAGTTGATATCTGTTATATAGAGTATAGTAAAGGTAAAGGTTTGTGATTGAAACTTGATTACCCCTAACCCTATTCTCCCATGTATGTTCCGTAGACATGGGCATAGTTACATCGATGGGATGCCCAGGTCGGTTCAAATGTCAATCCAAATCAGGGGACGTAGGAAGGTAAAAAGCGCTCATGATCAAGCTCTGAAATCTAAGTCCAAAACCAAGATATAAAGTAGAAGTAAATAGTTGTCTGGTACTATAACGCCAGCCAAGGTCGAACCCCTATTATCAACAAGCGAAAACCCGCCACCACTCGCTAGGAGAAACCCTCCGACTCCCAGACCAGACAAAAAAACCAAACTTGCTCCCGCCAAAAAAACTCGTCCCATTGTGACACAAACCGACCCGCTTTATTACAAAGAAATACATCACTCATCCATAAAACACCCTATTGGTGATACCTGCGAAGGAATGTCGATGATGTAGACATGCCACTTTTTCCAGTTCCAAATTCCCCATGACGTATTGAACCCCCGTAGATTTTCCGTGGTGGGGCGACTCGAGAGTTCCTTATACTACAAGAACAGCTGAGTAGAAGTATAACATTAAATCGCTCCCAACGAATCTAAATACAAAAAGCGACTCTGATAATATTCAAACAAATCACCCATAATGGATAAATCAAATTTCACCCCTCCCGGAATCACCACCACAGCCGCGAACCAAGCCCAGAAAGCAATGGGTGATCGCCCAACAACCACAACAAACACACCTCACATGCGCGAGGGCGAGACACAACTCACACTACAATGGTATGGAAACAGAGGTTCGTATTCCTCCTACACTATCCTCCACTTAAAACTCATAAGAAAATCTAGATGTTCGAGTCATAGAAGCACCCGTCCCAGCAATCGCCGAGCCAACAGACGTAATATGCAAAGTAACAGCCACCACCGTCTGCGGAAGCGATTTACACCTGTACAACAAGGAAATCATGCAGCTCCAACGGGGAGACATCCTGGGTCACGAGTGGATGGGTGTCGTCGACGAAGTTGGATCGGAGATTAAGAATGTGAAGAAGGGTGATCGGGTCGTTGCTTCTTTTCAGATTGCGTAAGTCATACCACCAACTTCCAAAAATTGCTATTGTGAACTGATCTCTATGTAGATGTGGGACATGTAAATTCTGTCAGGAAGGCTTATCTTCCATGTGCGATAAAACCAATTCCTCATCCGTACAAGAGAAGCTCTACGGTAAACCGTTCGCTGGTTTATTCGGCTACAGCCATTTCGCGGGTGGATTCGCAGGCGGACAAGCTGAATACGTCAGGTGTCCATTTGGCGATGTCAACCTATTGAAGATCCCCGACAGCGTTCCCGATGAGAAGGCACTTTATCTCTCAGATATCGTACCCACCTCCTACCACGCTGTGCAATGCGCAGATGTCGAGAAGGGAAAGAGCGTTGCCATCTGGGGAGCTGGTCCTATTGGACTCCTCGCCGCGAAATGGTGCATGTTAGCAGGAGCACGACGAGTAATCGTGATCGACAAAGTGAAGGAACGTCTTGCTCTGGCTCGGGATACGATTGGAACCGATATCATCAATTTCGAAGAAGAAAACGATGTCGTTGCCGCAATCTACAAACTCGAGCCCGAGGGAGTACATTGCGGTATCGACGCAGCTGCATTCCGATATACCAAGGGAATACTCCACACCGTCCAACGAGCTGTCGGATTAGAAACCGATTCCTCCGAAATCGTCAACGAAGCTCTACGAGCCGTGCGGAAATTCGGCTCCATCTGTCTCGTGGCCGATTACGCAGCCCTCACCAATCAATTCCTCATCGGAGCCCTGATGGAAAAGGGAATCACCCTCCGAGGCGCCGGACAAGCTCCTGTGCAGAAGTATTGGAAAGATCTACTGAAAAAGATTGAGTCGGGAGAGTTTGATCCTACCATCATCCTCTCGCATCGTTTCCACATCGATGAGTTTAGAGAGCTATATGAGGCTTTCGATAAGAAAGAGGATGGGATCATGAAGACTTTTGTGCAGACCAGATTTTCCGGCCCTCAAGCTCCTGGGACACCGGCATTGAGTAGTTTCAAAGCTGGAGACGTGAAGCCTTCTGCGGTGGTATAGAGGTGGATTGGAATGTGCAAAAAGATGATGTATTAGTATAAGAACGCAATATAATGCCATGACGATTACCTCTTTCGTACTCTTTGGATTGTCTCCCGGCAGGCAGGATAATGTCATTAAAATACAAAGCCCTTATGTTATTGCAACCTTCTTCGCAGAGCATAATTCTCCTGACTGCTCTCAAGGCACAAAAGGGGTAACTGATCACCTTAGAAACAAAAGGTTGGAATTGCCCTAAAAGATCCAAGTCCATAACTTGGATTGATATAGAGAGAAGCAACAAATAGAGTATGATTTCCAGTTCCCTTTTCAGTTCACTGAGCGCGCATGGAGATTTCCGACCGCATTCCATGATGTGTGAATTGTGCTCCATTAATACCACCTAGATGATTTAACCATCCAGATAGACCAATGTCTACCAAGTCAATGATAATCGCTAACCACTCCTCGAACCCGGCTGACTATTCATGTCAAGTGATCACATTAGACAGTACAAGTGCACTCGGTACGGTTTAGATAGATGACCATAGTCTTTTTCCTGTGACAAGTATTCTGTGATTCTCCACTGCCACTTTGGTACTGTACATCATCGCATCGCTGAAGTTACATACAATGCAAGACGCCTATCTACGGACAACTCGAAAGTCCTTCCAATACACGCCAAAGTTACACACCAAATACCAATCCAGTACCATCACCCAAACGCCATATCCAACGCCAACCCAATCGTACAAAGTCCCCTTTTCGCAGAAGAACGTACTGTACAGACCACCAAAGAAAGCGTTTAACCAAAATCGACCCTCAAACACCACTCATCTCAACCTCCTCAGTGACCAACTTGTAATCCAAAAAGTCGGCATCCTGGAAGTCATTCGCATTCTCCTGCCCATACGCAAAAGCCGGCACACCAACCGCACCCATCTTCCCATCCCTCTTCCTCTTCGGAACAGCAATGGCTCGTCCACCCATACTTCGTACAACCACATCGTCTTCCTCCTCCTCCTCAAAACGACGCTTATTTCCTAGTCCAATATCTCCAAACGGCGTCGCCGAATATCCCATCGTCTCGAAGCTAGAAGAAGACGAGGTACTTCCCTGACTACTCTTAAACCCCGGGAACTCCAACTCCTCCTCCTCATCCTCCGCATCACGACCCGAAGAATGGTAAATCCCCTCAACCTGCTGCGCCAAACCCCCAATCTTCAAGATCTCACAAAACGGCGTGAGTTCCCTAGCTCGCGGTCGACTTCCCGTCTTCGTCCGTGGAGAGGCAGCGTTGGACGTCGCAGCCACCGGCGCATGCGCCGACGACGGGTCTGAGAAGAGCGCGAAAGAACTGTATTGCGAGCCGGTTTTGTAGCCCTCTGGGACGGATTTGCGGACACGCATTCCCACGCTCAGGAGATTCGCTTGGACGTTTGTGGGTGGGATATGGCGCTGCTCTGTAGATGTTGAGTTGGAGAAGGCCGGGTTGTCGGGGGTGGCGGCGGAGAAGTAGGAGGTGATGGAGGGTTGGGAACCATTGTAAGGTCGCTTTGCCTGGTGGTGGTGAGCCATTGGGGCGGCCTTGATATAATTGCCGTTGGGGGTGGTTGAGGGTTTGGTGGTTGTAATTAAAGGAAAGTTAGGTGGTAGTGGTTCCACTTGGACGCAGTGGAAAGCGTTTGCGACGAATCGAGAATTACAAGTAAAGAATGAGGGGGTCGATGACGACTGAGGGGAGTGGTGAGTTTGTGCCACTTATGAAGAGGGGTTTGTGCGTGGTGGGTATGGAATTAGGAGTTGGTGGCATGGGACAGGAGGTTGTAATGTTGGAAGCGGAGGCTGAAGTGCCCAGGCGTGTGTCGGCCTTTGGTAAAGGAGTGGCCGAAGACAAAATATATCGCAGCATTAAAAACATCGTCCGCATCCACCTAAGTAATTACGAACACTCGTTTTATTTGGTACCAAGACAATTACTTGTTGCAACTAAAATAGTCAATGCATTGGCCTGTTTTCATGCACGTCACCAATCTTGAGGTCAGAAATTCACACGGTGGCGGGTACGCTGCATGCAAAGTTGCGTGTTACACTGGGATGGGATGGTAAAAGTTAATATCAACACTTTTGCTTGTGCTTATGAGGTGGATACTCCAAATCATGATATAAGGGTATTTGAAAATCATCATCATTTTGTACTCTGAGCCATTTTGCGGAAAAACAACCAAACTTTTGCTCTAACTTGCCCCAAACCTCATGTATTCGTACAAACGTCACATTTTCAATAGAAAAGAAACCAACGAAAATGTTGTGTGAAGATCTTATTGTCGTAAGTGCACAAAGCCCAACCACACAGCAAATGGGTATGTAGCAATCCTCGAACAAGAGCACCACCACGTCCTCGCATCAAAGATTAGGTCCACGAGTAGACAGACTGCCTCTAAACACTGATATGGAGTACCGCCCTCCGCCTTTCCCATAATGCAAGTTATGTGATTCGGATATCGATCGAGAAAATCCTCCATCACTCCTCCGGGATACAGTACGAAAAAGGAAAGAATTTGATGCAAGATATCCGGATGATCCCAAACGCCCTGAAATTTTTGTGCTAGGTAGGATTTTTGGTAGCGGTCCATCTTCTATCCCTCAAATGTGATTGCGCGCAAAAGAAGAATCTAACCTCTCATGTCGATGACGTGAATGCATAACCAGAACGAGGCAAAGAAAGCAAACAGACGAAATACGTCTACTTTCTTCGGAATGAGCATCCCTCGGTCAATCGTGCCTTTCCTCCAGTTGGCTGGCAGAGAACGGTCGAGCAGCCGGCGCAGATAACGACGGTTTGTGCGTGAGAGAAGACGGTGGTGATGGTGAAGCAACCGGGGCACTTGACATCCATGAAGAAAGATCTTGGGGCTGGGACAAGGTTCTGGAGGGGGGCAGAAGAATTATTATGAAGTTCAGAATTGCTATGAAGCCATTCGGAAATCTTAGGCGGTAATGCGTACCTTGAGCTTGTGCTTGCGAGCCTCCGCAGCAGGGGTTGGGTTGAGAAGATCAACGGCGAGAACCTATTCAGGCAGCATTTCGTTAGCATATACTTTTTTGAAGTCCGATATCCAACATTCCCATCTCCTTCCGCATCGATTTCTCGATTGTGTCCCCATTCTATCCCGCACACCATTTCCATCCAATACGCGCCAAATCTCAATTTCATGATGCTTCGGTGTCGTGTGCCAAATTTCCTTCACGCGTGGCGAATCGAGATTGAGGGGGCGAGGGGAATTCCTTACCATATTGACGGTGTGGTATCGGTTTTAAGTATCGATTTGTAGTTGACTGACGGGTCTTTCGTCGATTGTGATGTTTTTGAAGACGTAGATGGCGAGGGTCAGTCGTTGTCGATTGTCGAAAAGAAGAGGGGATGGTATTGGACCCATCATCGAGTCGAACTTTGGTTCTTAGCGAGTGTGGGTCACGTGGTTGAGCGTTATGCCAAGCCTATCGGTCACTCCATCGGGATATCGGCGTCGGGAAAGGAAAGAGCGATAACGATGCGATGCCTGTGATAATTTGGCGGGGTGATTTTAGGTGAGGGCTGGAGACACCTCAGCTCTGGATTATTTGCGACAACTACAACAATTCCTTCAAAATGGCTGCACCTATGGATCAGCGCATAAATGTCCCCATAGACGATCCAAATGCAGATACTGAATGGTAAATTCTCATCTTTCCTTCCAGACTACACTACTAACAAACATCAGGAACGATATCCTCCGAAAACACGGCGTGATCCCAGAAAAGCCCCCCTCACCAACCCCTCTCATCGAAGAAGCCATCCTCGAAGGACGCCGACTAGCACACGAAAACCGGTTAGAAGGCAAAGATCTCGATGAACTCGACGAATTAGAAGATCTAGAAGACGAGAACTTTTTGGAAAAATACCGACAACAACGAGTCCAAGAACTCGCGTCGCTGACCAAGAAAGCCGTCCATGGAGCGGTCTACCCAATCTCAAAACCAGACTATTCCCGCGAAGTCACAGATGCTAGTGCAAATGGACCAGTATTGGTGAACTTGACAAGTGGAATGGGGGCAAATGTTGAAAGCAGAGTTTTGACTGAATTATGGAGGCAGGCAGCAGCCGAGTATGGGGAGATCAAATTCTGTCAGATTCGAGGCGATTTGGCGATAGAGGGGTATCCTGACAAGAACTGTCCAACCATTCTCGTATACAATAAAGGAGATATTGTGAAACAGGTGGTTACGCTGATGACGCTCGGCGGTGTCAGGATTGGAATGACCGCCATCGACAAGTTGCTTATTGAGGTTGGAGCTATTAGAGATAACGACATGCGAGTGATGAAGAGACGAAGAGATGCAGAAGATTTGGCTGAAGAGAAAAGAGCAAAGGGTGGAATTCGAGGTAGTAGCAAACAAGCCAATGTGGAAGACGACGATGATTGGGACTGAAGAACTATAACAGCGTTACAAATGCATGGCAACGGCGTTGGTTGGGACTTAACATTTAGCTTAGTACAAAAGCATCTCGGAATTGGCTTGATTTTTATTTTTATTAATTTTCTTTTTTCTTGTTATATATCTCTTTCTGATAGGTTGCTGTTTCTTTTTCTCATGCTGCGGACAGTTTTATTCCCTTTAGCATTATGTCGTTTCTTTCTGAGCATTATACCCAAACACACTCATACGTATTCCCCATATCATGCAAGGATTCTTCCATCGTTGTGGAGTCCGTGTTCTTGTTTGTCAGAAATGCAGCTTTTTGGGCCGAAACACTATTTTGTTTGCATCATTGATTCAGTAGTAAAGTTGATCATAAATTTGACTACTGAATTGATGATCGACATCAAAGCGGCATGTCAGGTCGGAAGACATTCGATTGATGGCACTTCAAACGCATTGTATTGTAGTATAAAAACAGTCCAACCCCATCTCATACATGGAAGAAAGGATTAAACAAAAAGAGAGCCCCATCCCCTTAAATCCTTCCAAGAAACTCCATCCCATATGTCAAACAAACACCCCAATCCCGTAAATTTTCTTTCCATTCCAAACACCATCTCCATGACAAATCCCTATGCCCAAAATTCTTTCTCTTATATATCAGTTTTTACATCAACTCATCACTCCCACTCGCAACACTCTGCTGAATTGCCAGCAGGATCTGACTTTCCTCGAAAACCGGTCCCTGCCCATCACACTTCGCAACTCGCTTCAGTCTCTCACTCACATCCCCAACGTCTACCAACCCTCTTACATATAGGTCATGCTTGATAATATAATCCCAAGTTGCACCCGCAGCCAGAAGTCGTTCGCCGGTCTCGCTCGTCACGATGCGGTGGCTCGGTGTCTTGTTATCGTGTGCGTAGAGTAACTCGGTATAGAAGTCTGTGGGCGAGTAGCGCATCGGTCCCGCGTCTGGGAGAGCCTCTGAGCCGTTGCGGTTGGAGGTTACTCTGAGAATCTCGTTCTCGGTGTCTTTCTTTTGAAGTTGGAGTTTCAATCGCTCATTTTCTTCCATCACTGAGGCGGAGCTCTTTTCGAGGCTTGCGAGCTTAGTTTCGAGGTCCCTGACATGTCGGTCTTTACGCTCGCGGAAGGCTCGTTGACTGAAGGGTGTCAGTTGGTGCTTAGATTAGGCAAACAGTGATGGTAGTTGAAGACTTACGCAGCACGGTTTTGGGCCTTGCGTCTTTGTTGGGCTGGAGTTCGGTCTTCATCGTCACTATTGCTTCCCTGCCGAAAAGGGTCGTTGGCCTCCAGAGGAGGCTCGGGGAATGGGTTGTTTGAAATATTTGGGGTGATGGTTGGTGTCTTGTTAATTTCATGATACGGAGAAATCGGTGTATGCGACGGCTTCACGTGGCCAGCATATGGTACTTGAGGTTCATAGTATATATTCCCAAAGGAATCATCCTGTGTTTGGGTCAGGATGGAGTGAGGTTGGGGTGGGACTGTATGAAAATGGTCACCCACGGGAGGGTAGTCATCGTTCGGCGTTGGGGGAAGGTGATTTATTGGAGCTGGGTAGATGGGATAGTTTGCATTGGAGTAGTAGTCGCTGTGTTGTTGAAAATCCATTCTTGCTATCTGGGCAGTGTAGTGCCGTGCAGTCTACAGCTCTCACTCGCTGCTACGGAGTAGTTGTTGCAGGTTGTTTCTTTGGCCTGGCGGGACGCGGGGAAAGAGAGTTCGGAAGTGGAGGGCGTTCGTTTGTTGGCTTGGGCGTGGGCTTGGACCTGGCCTAGGGCTGACGGGTCGGGCGAACAGGCTCCGGAAGGATGGGACGGACGCCTCTTCTCACGATGCAAGAATGGTGAGGTTTTGGTCTGGGGAGGAGGAGGAGGAGTTTTCAGAAAAGATGCAGGTGGTGAGGAGTGTAGTGGGCAGTGGGTAGTTATACTTTTCGCTCTGAGTTTGAATAAGGCTAATCCGTCGTCACTACTAGGGAGGCAGGTAGGTGATTAGTAGGGAGTAGGTCCAAGGATTGATAGGCACCCGGTGCTTGTGGTACGGCGAACCCGAGCAACGTTTGGGGAAGGAAGGAGGGGAGGGGGAGGGGGAGGGGAGGGCTAGCGAGGGCTAGCGAGGGCTAGGGAGGGCTAGGGAGGGCTAGGGGAGGAAGGGGGGAAGGCACTAGGGGGAAGGCACTAGGGGGGCCGAGTGAGCTTCCGCGGACTAAGCCCGTCCACTCGCAGTCTCAGCACTCTATGAAAGTTCATACTGCTGGTGCTGGCTCATGTATTGAAGACGCCAATGCGAGGTCCAACCTGGCCTTCTGCCGTCTGCCTTCCCGCTGTCAGTATACAGTTAGCAGTTCAGTCTACGGATATGTTGGTACCCAATCACACTCGACGTTCGTATGCTGGAGCTTAGCATGGCATAGGTACCGAGTAGGTACATCACTCCTTGCTGTCTGGGTTTTCCCCTTTTCCTTGCGGTGGCGGCTCGCTGGTCCTGCATCCTATCTGTATCCTGTAATCTTACAAGTATGAGTACAGTATCCCGTATCCCCTTGTTCACACTTCCACTTCCACTTCCACTTCCACTTCCACTCCATATCAACGAGACGACTATTTCTACCAACACCACACCTTCCACACCCTAGGCCAGACGAGCCATCCGCCCTCTCCTCGTCCAAGCATCTTCTCACCCACGCCGTCCTATCCTTTACGGACTGCATGGCTGACCGGATTCCTGACCGGCACGTTTATGTCAGACCCGCAGTTAACGGAATTTGGCTTCTCACTGCATCAAGCGCGGCAACCAGAGTGTGGGATGCTCAATGTTTGGTTCTACCCCCTCACACCATACCGCTTCCGGATGGCAAGTCCAGGGTCTCAGTTCTCCTAATATGATACGCTGCAGAATATGGTTGGATTCTTCAGAAACTCTTGATGTTATTCGCCTGGAAGAGCCTCGAAAGCCGAGTAGCACAGGAGTCAGATTTTGGACCCGTTAGGGTGGCTGAACGTTGTTTGATAATAACATGAGATTTGAAGAAGCTACAAGAATATTGGCTCCGTCGATTCCCTCTTTCAGCTATCACCCCATTCTCTCTTTCTTTGTGTATGACACGTTGAATACTGGCATAAGCTTGGTTGAATGCTACCAGAAATCTGCTCTAGCGTAGATCCTCGACGTTGTCAGGTTCTAAAAATGTAACCTTGTCATTTAGCCTGTTCTGTACACCTTTTTTCTTATCCCTAGAAATCCCCAACTTACGCCAAAACATGTTTCTGCATGTCTTGGTTGAGTTGGGTTGGGTTTTCCTGGATGCTTTGACTGGTTGGCTGGAGAGCCATCCCCTTCCCCTTTTATTATTTAAGACGGGCTAGACAACCCGCCTAAACGCTCACGGCGTCCGTCTCACCTCATTTTCCCTCTTGATCGTGCCTACTATCAGCAGAATAGGAAAACCATTCTGTGGATTGTACTTGGAAAAGGCGTCTACGTGCGTCTGATTTCAGCTACCTGACTATCTCATATGGATACGCGCAAGCCATCATCTCCTTATTCATTGGAACTTCTAGTCTAGCTTAAGCGCTCTACTTATCTACCAAATCACACCCCTGCATTTCCAGTATGCTCGTATGATCTGGGATGGAAGCATGATCCACCAATTCCATATCTATCGGGCAGCATCTTAAACCCCGAGGGTGTAACCTTCCCAGAAAAGGCTCGATCCGAGCCATATACAGTTCGTTGATACAATCACATGATGCTCCTTCTATCCAAGAAAACGCCATTGCATGCAGTGTCTCCCCAGAATCAATATACTTCACATCGGCAGTCGGACAAATTCTAGCTAAGAATTTCCAGTCGTTTGGTTCTACTCCTACATTTCTGACCAATGAATTTCTCCGTCTACTCCTGACACCTCTTCTGCGTCCGTCAGACTGGGAATCATGGCGCGAAGCTGTGAATGACTGCATCTTCTCGTTTGTACGAAAATGGAACTGATCGCGAGGTTGGAGATCTGAAAATGATTCTCAAGGGTCAGACATGTGTCTTCTCACTCATCTCTGCAGCTAGCGGCATTTTACTCCAAACTACTTGAGGTGACACACGACACACATGCGCATTAATTTCCTTGGAATGGGTTGCAGATTCCTATGTACAGTACAGTACACCATCCTCACATATACCGTAGGAAATATACATGGTATTACGTTTCGCCTTCTTCACGTCAACGCCATGGCGATTTCTCTCCTTTCTAATCTTCAGACATATTCTTATCTAGACTGCGATCGCCGATTTGGAAAAGAACCAGTATTTACACACCACAAAGTGAAACTGCAAGCGAAGGCACATCTCTCGATTGGACAGATATCACGCTTATGGTTATGACAACCGGAGGTACAGTAATCGGATGTCAGGCGGGGAAAAAAACGTGGTTTTCCATGTTTGTGTAACCCCCCTTTTTTTCTCACTCTCTTTCTCTTACTGTATGGATTGTGGAGCCGGTCCGGTCCTGCGGCATGGGATGTGGGTTTTGGGGGGATCCTTTTACTTTTGAGTGGGGGGGTCTAAACTTGGGGGGTTTTTGTTTTTGATTTTGTTCTTGTTTTAGTTTAATCTATGGGGGGTTGAGAGGATGTTTCTTGGGAGGTGTGGTGGGGTAATGTATTGTTGGTAGAAGGTGTAAATGAATGGTTTTGTAGCTTTGAACATTTGGGATTCATTCGGAGATGTAGATTATTTTTTCTGGTTCTTGAAGGTATAGATAATGGCTGGGCCTTGCTTTGGGATTTATAGATTAGCGATTCTAGATATAGCTACACTGTTTACAAAAGTTCTATCTTTTCTTTTTTTATGACTCGTAAGTCCCCTTAGGACTTTTAGGGTGTGAAAAATCTCCTTGGTTTTGTGATTTCGTATAGTAGCTTGTATGGTTTGATTATATAGATAGGTAGTATAGATAGTATAGTAACGAGATCTTATATAGTACCTTTATATAATTAGTAAGAGTTAGGTTTAGATTAGTTACTGTTGCTAGGAATATAGAAGGCTAGGGTACCGGTGCTAGAAGAGTTGTATTGTATTCAGATAACTACCTATAGGGAGCTGATGACTGGGCAGGAGTCTGGGATATGCCCCTCCTTTGTTGTACACTCTTGTGGAATAGGTAGCTATGTATAGGTCATATGCTGTGGAAAGGACTGGTCTGATTAATTGACTAATATCGTAATGAGATACCCCTTTTTTTATCGCTGTAGGAGGAATGAAGACTCCTTACGAGTAAAATAAATGAGGAAGACTACTGATAATATCTAAGACCTTACTATACCCCTTTTTCCATTAATCCTACTCCTATACTCCTATCATAAGAAGCATGCGGGATTCGTAGTTCGTAGGATAGCTACAGTAGGTGTTAGTTGATTCGCTGCTTTTTGTGACTTTTGTGACTCCTCTTGACTTGAGGTTTGAATTTTGGTGAGCCTTCGATAACTCGTTTGAATCCGCCTTTGTCCAATGGGGACGTGCCTCGATTAAGAGAGGACTTGTTGACTTATTTATAATGTTAAGGAAGTCTATCGAAACCGAGGGATGCGTAAATATTACTTCCTGAATGTGTTCGATCTTGTAAACCGCTCTGTCTTCTTTGCTCTAGCTATTATACACTCTGACTCAAATCGGCTCATTGCTCTAGCGTTGCACTAGCTCTCTTACTCTAACATACCAGCTAAAAAAACGACAAACCAGTAGAGCAGATAAAACAGCCCCCTCTCCTCTCCAGGAGTTAAATAAAATTTCCGACACCCTAAATATGCAACCGGGCTCCTAATCTGTTACAGGAAAACCTCGATACAAGGATATGCTTCGGGGGAGGTTTCCTAGGGACATAACCGAGGGTATCCTTGCATCGAGGTTTTCCTGTACTAGGAATGTAGAAGGCTAGGGTTGTATTCAGATGACTAGGGATCTAATGAGTGTAGGCAGGAGTATCACAGGTTTTGAATTAAGAGTGGGTAGGGACGCTTTATGAACCGAACTAAGCGAGGGGAGAGTGAGGGATTACAATAAGTGTCACTAAAACTTTTCTGTAGAATACGTGGTATCGATGCTATTGGAGGTAATTAATAACGGTTAAAACTCGAGTCGTTGAGTTAAGAAGTAGTACCTACCAAACTTACCGTAACTCGAGTAGTAAAAATGCTACTTTTAGTTCTCTACTTAAATCAACCCGCCAGGTATGTACTCGAGTAAATCAAGTAGTATTCACGTAGTACGGAATAGACCGGCCCGAGTCCCCGTAGTGCGCGGTAGCACTTTAGATAGTCGGTCTGCTTACTCGAATTTAGATAACTACCCCTATCTCCTCATCGCATCGTATGTACGTTTAGATTTTTAAGTCAGCGATTTCCTATTTAAGCGGTCGGAGCGGTCGGGATTATGCCTAGGCTCGCTACGGGGCTTGGTCCGACTTGCTCCGCACCACTTAGTAGCACTATCGTTGAGTACCAAGACTAAAGTGGACGTTCTAAATTCAAAAATCGAAACGTGTATACGATGCGACGAGGGGGTATACGGCAAGAATAGTAAGTTTGTCTTAGGTCTATATGTCTCCCTTCCACACTTGAAAGGTCTGGATAAAACGTGCACGAGAAGTAGATGCGATAACTGGGTCGAGTTAAGGCTGAAATGCTAAGCAATATAACCTGGTTCGCCAAACGACTTTGTTTTGCGGGGAAGATGTCGTAGAAGTGGGTAACTTCACTCCATGTAGGAGTGCACGTTTTATTCGGACCTTTCGAGTGTGAAGGGATATTAAAAGTATTTACTAATTAGCTTGCTACCCTATTCAAGCTACTGTATATTAGCTAGGAGATATTTATATATACCGGCTACTAGTACTAGTTGTTTATATTCTAGTTGCGTTTTATAGTATTACTTGAGGACTAATTAAGTAGCTAGATCTTCTGCTTAACTCAACTTAAGGGAACTACCTGCTTATACTTAATAACTCAACACAAGTACGACTCAAATAGAGTTAAGTAGTTGAGTAATTTTGTTCAAACGCTAGCAATAGCTTTTGAGGCAGGGATATGTCTACTATAAGAACAATAGCTCGTCTCGTCTGGACGTTTTTCTTTTGGTTTCCTTAAGCGAGCTTTTAGGCTTCTTGCTTGATATGGTTAAAGGATAGTGATTCGCGAATGTTTGGCACTTGATTTCAAATGACTTCGTGATAAAAGGCCATTGATCTGAATCTCTAATGGAGTGGTGAGAAATCCTGGTAGTTCCTCCCTCCGTATTTCTCAAGTTTTCATCCCATAGTCTTCAAAGGGATGCGCTGCTTCCGAGAAATGTGCAAGCGTCTTCTGGTCATGGTAGCTATGAACCGGTTATATAGTAGGCGAGCAAGTTGGAGAAAGGGGTTAGGCATGCCGTCTCTGTGCGCAGTATGTCAGTTGGTGTGCCTGTGCTGGTAGACATAGGACTTTCCCTCAACGCTCTTAAGATGCGAGATTTACCTACAAGGTGTCTCCTCTGCCACACGTTCCTCGAACGCAGTATCTCCTCGGCCGCTTGTAAAGGCATAGCCCTCAACTAGACTTAATCAATACACCTATGTATAAATTATACCACCGACGTACTTTGGCGTTGATGGAAAGTTTTCCATGCTATCGTTAATCCAAGTACCGCAACAACAAAAGCTGGGACCCCGAGAGATATTGCGATTATATCGTTTGACGATACTGAAGTATACAAAATGAATCAGCTTATCAGATAAATAAAGACATGTCATTCAGTGGATGTAGACTCACGCATTTTGAAAAGCAGAAGCACGAATCTTTGCCTTTTGCCAGTTATTTTGTAATGAACGTAATTTTGGTGGGCTTCTTGTTACCTTAAATCTTGTCTGAGCCGAATTACTCTTCACGCTTGCTCAGAATGCTCGCTCAGAATGTATGCAAGCAGAAGCCATTGGCACCCATGCAGTACATAGCCACCCTTGTCCAGCATTTTCATTATTCAATAAGGGAAACAAGAAAGCGATTGTTGCGTGCACAGAATGATAAGTGTATGCAGATGACGGTGACTTTTGCTCAGGTCATACATTGTAATTGGTGGATCCATTGATTGACGTTTCCTGCATACGCAAATGTAACAAAACATTGTCAACGTGCAGGCGTGCATCATGTACCGTCCCAAGCTTTCCCCCCGGTCCATAATCAATTTTTCTGCCCCCCATGCCAAAACAATGGGTGCTAGCGCCTTGTGAGTAATTAGGAGTTCCTCGATTTTCCACCTTGATACATATGACGCCTCGTCTTTTGCAATTCAATATGGAATTCTTGACACTAAAGTTAAAGTTGATACGTAGTACAGTAAACCGAATAGAAGTTTTATATATAAGCAAAATTCGCGGATAATGGTGGAAACATGTTTGTGGAGCTTAAATTTGAGGTTGACTGTAGATATGTAGTGATAACAACTTGTCTCAGAGGGACTACTGGTTTACATAAAAATGACAATAAAGTGTAAACCACTTATCGTCGTACTGTAACTGAAATCAAATGTGCTTCAATATTTCAACTATTCGGAGCAAAACTCTTTAAGATGAGAGACAGCGTAAGAAATGAGTAGAGTAGAGTAGAGTAGAGTAGAGTAGAGTAGAGTAGAGTAGAGTAGAGTAGAGTAGAGTAGAGTAGAGTAGGTGCCACCAGTAGAGTAGTGGCACCTACTCTACTCTACTCAAGTAGATTTTAACCCTACTCTACTCTACTCGCCAAGTACTCGAGTAGTACGGAGTAAATCGGGCCGAGCCTCGGCGACCGGGCCGACAGCTCTCTAACCTTGCGGGTTCCGTATATAAGGTATAAGCGATAGTATAATAGAGTATTTTAGAGTCGAATATCCTGTCTCTTTTAATAGTTGTTTTTTTTCGAGAAAAATGAGAAGTAGGAGACAAGAGAGCTACTGTTTAAGGAAAATTATTGTATACTTTAGTCACGTTACTACTACTTGACTAGTACTCAAGTACTACTCGAGTAGTCGAATTCAGTACTCATCACTACCCAATTAGTGGAATCCGCTACTCTACTCTACTCTACTCGAGTAGTTGAGTAGTTCTTTCGTACGCTGATGAGAGACTAAGGCACAATTGGTCTTCTCTAATGGATAATTCTAGGGCCACAAGCTGCCGGAAAAGATTTTCGACGTGACATAGGCAGCTCGCTTAACCCTGTCAGTTGGCCAATTTCCCCTCATAGGATATACTGTTGGACTGCTCCAGAGTGTATCCAAAGACATTGATACTCGGTTAGTCGAATTTGTTAATCGAAAGCATGCGTATCTGGCTTAGAACCAATACAAGCTAGAACAGAACAAACACCAGATAAGTCCGTCCCCACCATTAATCAAAGTGTTGTTAGCTTAGTCTGTAGTAGAAGGCAATGACGTGCTCCAGAAAGCCGTACTCACCAGAAAGACGATTCAACTCGCCTTGCTCTGGGAAGTGAGGCAGAAAAGAAAGTTTATCTACGTTCCGTTATTTCTTGGGGGTTTCTAACTTTGATTCTCTTGTACTCAAGTTTTTCATTTATTTCAAATTCTTGGAGTACCTATGGATTTCTCATGAGGTTTTGAGAAATGTCAGTGGTTCACTGCTGCTTCTAATTTTCACGGATTTGTGGTCAAATAGAAAGGGGGAAGTCAATTATGAACTGCATTAGACCACCGGAACTCTTTTAAAGTTCACTTGACTCATTAAGTAAGATTTTGAATCTTAAAGACGATATAATTACTACCTATCTTGGGATAAATATCAGATCGCAGCGATCATGATGAGACCGATAGCCATTGGCCTCAAATGGAGCCATCTTCTCTGGTGTCGTTTCTGGAGCGAGCGCAATTTTGAAATCTTGAATCAAGCTGTTGATTATCAGGCGCATCTGATACAGGGCCATGTTTCCTCCCGGACAACGACGAGAACCCACACCAAAGGGTACTAGCAGACGACGTCTTTCTGCACCGTTTTCCTCCTCTAGCCAACGCTTGGGGTTGTAGACGTCGAAGTCTGGGAATAGGTCCTGCCTTTGACGGCTCATGGATAATGATTGAGTCGTAACTATGGTGCCTTCGCTTAAATGATGGCCTAGTAGATCAAGACCTCCAGGGGGAACCGCTCGGCTTCCTGTGAGTGCAACTGGAGGCCGAAATCGTAAACCCTCTTTGATACAGGCATCGAGGAGCTTAGCAGAGTCAAGCTCATGATCGTCATCCACCACAATTAATTCTTGATAGAGCTCCTCCAACAGGATTGGATCCTTGGCCAACTCGTAAAAGATATAGGTAAGTGCCGACGAGGTTGTCTCCGTAGCCGCAAGGATCTGCCCTGCCATTTCTGCGCCTAGTTCGTCTTTCGTCCAAGACCACTGTACAGGATACTTGGCGTTCGTATCGGTACACAGGCCGTATACATGTTGAGTATCGTCCGTCGGATCACGGTAATTATTCTTCTGTGCCTCTGCCTGTCTGCAAACTTCTGCTCCAAGATCAAACAATTTGTCGCTTGAATCAACCCGAAAGCGTGCGTGTGAGAAGGGGCTGTACTTAAGCCAGGTGAAAGCCCACTCTGGAAGGCAGAGCCGCCATACTACCAGGAAATTGTATTCTCCTACAATCTGAGGAAAATCTTGGGGATCGAGATCAACTCCTGGACCCCCTATCAAAAGCTGGGAGGTCTTGAGGGTACAAATACGAAGATGCCGTACAACATCTTCTGACCTAGTTCCCTTCGATTCTCGAAGGTCTTCAGCCATTGCATTGATGTGATTACGAAAGATAGGAAGCCAACTCTTGAGGTTCTTGGTTGTGGAGGCTGTAGCCCTATCAGCAGGTCTCTTTGGATGGGAATCGTTGTAAGATTACCTATCATGACAGGATGCCTTCGTTCTCTTGCAATGCTAAGTTGGGGATAGGTTACCGTCCAGTCATGACCTCCTACGCGCAAAGCACGGATTGCTGTTGGAGATGTATCCAAATCCTTTCGGATAAAGGTGCTTTCCACAGCATCGTGATCGTTGACGATGACCATGGTTGGACTGATCCTAACGATGGATCCGTACTTAGCGAGCAACTTGTCGGCTTCAAGTGAGAGTCTGCCGTTCCATCGTTGCCATCGGATCCATAGTGAGGTTGTTGATGCAAGCCATGGACCGGGAACTTTACTCAAGGCGTGAAAATAGGCGTGATAAATGATATACCCTAATTCATAGAGAAAGAAAAAAAGGAGTAGATAGAGGAGCGTATTCCAGCTCAAGAATGCATCCGACGTTGCTAATATGTAGCCAAGCATCTTGTGTGCTGTTCTGTCACTTACGCGAGACAAGAGCAGAGGGGTGGTGATAACTTATATAGAACTACAGTGTATGGAGCCCAACACAGAGCTCAGGCTATACTTCTCCATTAGTGTGAGAGCCTATATCACTGAGGATCAAGGGTTCCCGATCAACCTCTACTAAATGAACTGCATTATTTGGCGGTGGGCTATCTCACAATTACCACTTGCATGCTAGCTCTAGCCATTAAGAATTTTGGCAGCTATACGAGTCTTGGGAAACACAGATATGGGTCAAATATGGAGCCATTCCAGTTTGCCACCCCGAATTCCACAATCACCCCGTAGATAATATAAGCGGGAGTCTTTTGTCGTGCTTCTTGGCTAATTTCATTGGCCCAATAATTGAGAATAGTGTGAAAATATGTATGGCATCAGTGGATCACAGGTGATGGTGCGCGGGCAGAAAGAGTCCCGCTTACTGTGTCTACCTGGTCACAATTCACACCAAACTGGATCTGTGCTGTGCTTGGTGTAGTAACTTGGTCCTGTCATTGAAAGCTACACTTCCAGTTATTATTTGTTGTCTGAGTTCATGTTTCCTCTTACCTCTGACAACTGAAATGATTCAACCTCGCAAATCTGAGCAGTGAAAATAGGTATTTCTGGAGATGAACACAGCTGGGAGATGTGACAGCTCTCCATTTGTAAACCCAAGCTTAGACGAGCAAGGTCTTTTGTGCTAAAATAAAAAAAAGACGGAAATGATATTATAAGTTCTAGCTCCAAAATTCACCAAATACACATTTTCTACTTAGCGAGCTTTCTTGAACCATGCCTCAGATCAGCACCAGATGTAGTGAAGATACGAGTAGCGATCCATAGTACTATTGCGCTGACTTGTTGACCATGTATGGGATGAAGCATTTATCAAAAGACGCTGAAATATGGTATAAGTCTAAATTTCAAGAAATGAGGCGCAAAATAAACTTGGAACCTTAAATAGAGTAGAAAACTTGATTCTGAGTACTCATTGAGGCGCTCTCTGACTCAAGTGCCCCCTGTCTGAACAATTTTTGGCTTTCAATAGATGGGTTTTGTTGCCAATTTTTACTGTTATAGATAAAGTTTGTAGATAACTTATAGAGGGATTTTCATTATGAGATTTCCATGATGGGTTATTGTATGACAGATAGATTTTTAATAACGTCTGAGCTAGGTCTGTGTCAATTATTCTATCGGCGAGTGTGAGTGGGCTACGTGCGGAAAGTCTGAATAGCTTTAAATATGGCATGGAACTAGACTCAATTGAGCAGTAATCAATGGGATAACTTGCGACCTGAGCGCAGTCAGTGATAGCTCACAAGATATTCTCCTAGCCCCACAATTTATTTCTATGGTTTTAGCACAAATAATACTCGTACACAGTTTTTGTCCACCTCTTAGGACTAACTTGACCACTAAATAACTTGTAAAATTCGGCAGCAAATTCCCTCTATTAATCGCTTCTACTTAGTTTGCAATAATATGTGCTTCCTTTGCTTCTTCGGTCTCAAGTTATCGGTGACGGCATTTGATAAGGTACTGTATAGCGAACATTTAACTTATCAAAGTCAACAAAATCAACACTCACCATTCCACCATTATCCACGTGGGTCTTTGCCGCGGAGTCAATTATTTGCGGGGACACCGGTAATATTTTAGAGAATTCCTTATTTGTATACTTGTGTGAAAAAGCTATCCATTGCTGACATGTCGTTTCAATTTGCGGTGCTTAACAGGGGTTTAGCACGCCAAAGCTCTATTCACTTGACTTTTGGATTGTGAACCGTAAAAGACTTGAGGGATTATCCCTTCTCAAACCTTAATACAACGTCGGTGTTATGACTCGCTAAGGTTAGTTGTATTCGCCATTTAAGGGGAGTTCTTAAAAGCCGATAAAAATGGGGCGATCGCTTGGAATGCATTTCTAAGCTGATGGATTACCGGGCAACCTGTTCTCTTAAAGTTCAATACTCGTACCAAAAACAAGAAGAAACAAGCGGTGGCGTAACGTAATGGTTCGGTACGATGATATTTGAGGGCTTTTCCCTCTTTTCTGGCCGTGGCTAGGCTGCTTGAATTATTTGTATAGCTTCATCGGGCTCAGTGGTATATGACGTTGATTTGCAAAACTTTCTACTAACTGCCATAGCAGGGGATCTGGAAGCTACCTATGTAACCTCCAAAGAATACTATCAAAACATGAGCATTACGCAAAATCTTGGAACATTCGATCTATCATCAACAACGATTGTGAGTTAGCTGATTTACTTGTTTCTCTCCTATAAGAGCGTTATTGTATACCTTCCGATAAACAAGAGAACTGTAGTAAATTCTCTCTTGCTATATCTTTCTTAGATTTGTTAAATGGTTAAATAACCAACCTAGATCTTTGGATTATTTACTTATTGGCTAAAAGGCACCTTGAAGGCGAAGAAGGGGAGGGGAGAGGAGCTAGGTAACGGTCATAAGAATATCTTGATATAGTTAGGTATAAGACAATCAAAAGTTTATAATAGTAGTATATTAATCTGGTTATTTCCTAGAATTGTAACATTTATATTATAAGACGGTTCCTTACGAATCAAAAAGATTTAGGCCAAGCTTGTAATCGTTCGGAATAATCAGGACTATCGGTGGCCGTCCTGTTCCTGTTCTAGAAGCGTCTTGGGGAAGCGCTCCCAAGGGTGCCAAAGCTGGGAATGCCTTCACTTTGTATCTACCTTATATCCCTCTACCCTCTACTGTCGGTACTACACCTCTGTCCCTTGTGCGCTCGCAAAAATGCACTCGCAGGACAGCACATCACAACCTAGACATGTAGCGCCGGCTTTCTCCGTAAGAAAGATTTAGCTGAATCGACCGATATTGCGACTATTTTCTTTGTAGCATTAGAATTAAAGCTCTAGGAGCGATACTAAGTCCTAAGCTACGTCTAAGCGTAATAGCCCTGTGATAGTTATACTATAGGATAGTCTTCTTATTCTTAGGCTGCTATAATACCTAGGCAGTAGAGTAGTTTATAGACTACTATCTTATATAAGGATAGTAATTCTCAGTTATACTCTCTCTTTCAAACTGTCTAGTATTCTAGCTACTCCTAGAACGGCCCTAGGACAGTCTAGTCTATATAATAACCTAGGTATCTAACGACGATTTTATTAAACTCCTTCCCCTTTAGGTATATAGGGTAATTATATTAGTAGTACTTACCTAGTAATACCTAACTTAATATTTGCCGAGGGGCTATAATAATATTCCTAATTATAACACCGTTATATTCTCTACCTTAATATAGATACTCCGAGCCAAAAATTATCCTACCTATAGAAAGCTAGATTGGTTATCAATTTTTTTTCTTTTTTCAAATTACTAAATAACTAGTTTCATTCTAATTTCTAATAAGTTAATTCGGCCTAGGGTTGCCTCTTCTTCTTCGCTGTCTAGATATTGGGCGGCCCATGTCTATTACGAATGTGAATTTAACTCAACGAATAGAAAACCAATTAAGAAAAACAAATTCAACAAAAAAATGTCAAATCACGATGGAATTCCGAATCCGGGAATCGAACCCGGCGCTCCCCGGCAACTTTCATATATGAAAGCGGGGTATGTTAGCCGATACACTAATTCGGAGTTTCTTGTTGTTGCTGATTTGATGGAAATGATTGACTTATTCAAAAATACAAAGGTTGAACAATCTTGCGTGGGACTGTGAGGTTGGATCCGAACTTTATCCGACCGGCCCGTGATGCTTCAAGTCGTCTGTCCACATGAGGGCTGCTTATTCTTGATTATGAACAGGACAAAGTATAGGAATAATTATCTAGTCTCTAAAGGTTCATTTTCAGCTACCTAGTATTGAGGTCAAGCACATACACCGCAAAAGCTGCTATTCAACTAAAAAGTTCCAATTTTTACATACTCAAGCTGTTTAATAAACTATGTTACATTTTTGAAACAATCATTAGTAGAAAAAGATACACAATCGCTTCAAGCTAAGCTGGTAGCACATAAGTATCCTAAATACTTGTACATGCGCCTTACTGTCGTCTCTCTTGATAATGTACCACTAGTTCTAGAACAAAAGATCAAATTACCACTAACAAATTAGTACGATCAGCCCCATTCAATTGAAAAACACCTCTCAAGGTTAGGCACGTATTCGAATACATTTAGAAAGTATATATGCAGAAAATGGCATATTAAATAGAAGGCTCGAAAGTCGAGGTTGACATGTAGGGAGCTGGAGCTAGCATGGAGTATCAGCCGGCGATGCCAAGAATCTCCACTCGCTTATTTTGGACACGGCGGATTTGGCTACGTTGCGCATGGTTGCGACTCTCAAGCAATCCCGCCCCGACTCTACCATAACCTCCTCAATACACACTCTTGCCCTGCAATTCATGAAGCTGCGCAGCGGACCTCCATAACCATGAGTTACAGCAAGAAAGACGAAGATGGTGATTCAGCCATCATGCGGGTGGACAGAACCTCTGTCTTCCAAGAAGGTCGGCCAGCCTGGCGTTCGCCCTCCTCCCCTCAAGCTTCAACTGACATCTGCCAGCGCGACTGTTCAATTCGTCTCCAATACAACCTCGAAGATGTCGAGTACTTCTTACCAAGATTGCCCTTCTCCTCTATACCGGCGAGCGTTTCCCCACAAACGAAGCAACAACCCTCTTCTTCGGGATCTCGAAGCTGTTCCAGAACAAAGATGCCAGCTTACGGCAGATGGTTCACTTAGTCATTAAGGAGCTAGCTCACTCGGCGGAGGATATTATTATGGTTACAAGTACGATCATGAAGGATACCGGTGGTGGAACGGACGCCATTTACAGACCAAACGCCATCCGAGCCTTGTGTCGTATTATCGATGTAAGACAAGACGAGCACTTGGGAAGAATTTAACTAACGTGAGCAGGGCTCTACCGTTCAAAGCATCGAGCGTGTCATGAAGACAGCAATTGTCGACAAAAACCCCTCAGTCTCCTCGGCAGCCCTCGTTTCCTCATACCACCTCCTTCCAATCGCGCGAGACGTCGTGAGAAGATGGCAGAGTGAGACACAAGAAGCAGCAAGCTCTACCAAGTCTTCTGGGGGATTCTCATTGGGCTTTTCTACATCTTCGAGTCAACAGCCGGTGAATAACTCCACCATGTCGCAATATCATGCAATTGGATTGCTGTACCAGATGAGAATGCACGACAGGATGGCATTGGTCAAGATGGTCCAACAATTCGGAGCAGCAGGCGCTGTTAAAAGTCCGGCTGCTACCGTTATGCTTGTCCGACTCGCAGCACAATTGGCGGAGGAGGATCCACAACTTCGAAGACCAATGATGCAACTCTTGGACGGCTGGCTCCGACATAAGAGTGAGATGGTTAATTTTGAGGCAGCAAAGGCCATCTGTGATATGCGAGATGTCACTGATGCTGAAGTCACCCAAGCCATCCACGTTCTCCAACTCTTTTTGACCTCTCCAAGAGCAGTCACTAAATTTGCTGCCATTCGAATCCTCCACAACTTCGCCTCATTCAAACCACAAGCCGTTCACTCCTGCAACCCCGACATCGAGCTCCTTATCTCTAATTCTAATCGCTCAATTGCTACCTTTGCCATTACTACTCTTCTCAAAACCGGTAACGAAGCCAGTGTAGATCGATTGATGAAGCAAATCCAAGGTTTCATGGCAGATATCACGGACGAGTTCAAAATCACCATCGTGGAAGCTATCCGGACATTATGCTTGAAATTTCCTAGTAAGCAGGCTGGTATGCTTGCGTTCTTAAGTGGAATATTGCGTGATGAAGGAGGATATGAGTTCAAGCGTGCTGTTGTAGAAAGCATGTTTGATTTGATCAAATTCGTGCCGGATTCCAAAGAGGACGCTTTAGCCCACCTTTGCGAATTTATTGAAGATTGTGAATTCACAAAACTCGCCGTCCGCATCTTGCATCTTCTCGGATTAGAGGGACCAAAAACATCACAGCCCACCAAGTACATCCGATACATTTACAATCGTGTTGTACTTGAGAATGCCATTGTCCGAGCTGCTGCTGTCACAGCTTTGGCCAAATTTGGAGTTGGCCAGAAGGATCCAGAGGTCAAACGTAGTGTTACAGTACTTCTTACACGATGCTTAGATGATGTTGATGATGAGGTTCGTGATCGGGCCGCTCTAAATTTGAGATTGATGAAAGAGCCAGACGAAATGGCTGATCGGTTTGTCAAGAATGGTAATTTTTCAAAGCAGACTCAGTGTTTCAGAGACTAACCTTGTAACAGAAAACTCATTTGCTCTCCCATATTTTGAGCATCAGTTGGTCATGTATGTCACTGCGGACGACAAATCCACTTTTGACATTCCATTTGATATCGCCGCCATTCCAGTCGTAACCAAGGAACAGGCAGACGCAGAAGACCGATCTAAGAAGCTCACAACTGTGACACCTACCATCAAGGCCCCCAAGGCCGGCCCCACCAAGGCTGCGCCATCAAGTGCAGAGGCAGTGGCAACGGCTTCCGCTACAGCTCAGAAATACCAACAAGAACTTCTCCAGATACCAGAAATGAAATCATATGGCAGCGTTTTGAAATCGTCGTCTGTGGTAGAATTGACGGAATCAGAAACAGAATATGTTGTTAATGTTGTCAAGCACATCTTCAAGGAGCACATTGTTCTCCAATATGAGGTCAAAAACACTCTCCCTGATACGGTTCTTGAGGATGTCTCGGTTGTAGCCACACCATCAGATGAGGAGGAGCTTGAGGAAGATTTCATCATCCCAGCTGCCAAACTCGTCACAGATGAGCCGGGGACAATCTACGTTTCATTCAAGAAGGTTAATGGAGAGGGATCTTTCTTTGCCAGTACTTTCACCAACATTTTGAAATTTACGACGAAGGAGATTGATCCCACTACAGGAGAGCCTGAAGAAAGTGGCTATGATGACGAATATCAAGTTGAAGACCTTGAGCTCAATGGCAGTGATTATGTTGTTCCAGCCTTTGCTGGCAATTTCAACCATATCTGGGAGCAAGTTGGTGCAGCTGGGGAAGAGGCAGAGGAGACGCTCCAGCTCAGCGGCGTGAAGAGTATTGCAGGTAGGCTCTCAAAGAAGACTCGTGAAGGAAAAATTACTAACAGCTTTCCAGATGCCACTGAACAGCTCACGAAGACTCTTTCATTACAACCTTTGGATGGGACTGATGTACCAATTAACACAACCACACACACACTCAAGCTATTTGGAAAGACTGTTACTGGTGGAAAGGTTGTTGCCAACATCAGAATGGCATACTCCACAAAGTCTGGAGTCACCAGTAAGATTGTTGTTCGCAGTGACGAGGAAGGGATTGCCGCATTGGTTATTGGGTCTGTTGCTTAAGGTATAGCGGGTTTTACGGAGTTGAGCATTGATGATACATCTGAATGGTGGATGCGAGTGTCTAGATCAAGGATTTTGAAAGCCTCACCACACAGATGTTGGGCTTTTCTGAGTTCAAGCGGAGTCCAAGGGGTTACAAAATTCCAATAAATTCAATGAAAAGACTATTCCGTAGGTGTTGGAGTCATTGTATTAGTTGTGAAGAAAAAAACACGAGTATTATCTACATCTGTATCACATGTATTTTGTAGTGGAGGGCCACCTGCAGGGTTTCCTTGAATGTCGGATAAAAAAGTGGGTAAAGGCAATGACGACGGTGGGCTTGGCGTGAAGTGACGGGCGCGTCTATCTTTCACCCACAGACTGGATAAAGAACAAAAAGTATCTCAGCTGCCACCAGTCAACCACCCAAGGCACAACTCTTGAGCATCGCATCTCAGAGCACCACGGAGACACACTTGCAATAACGATCACCATGGTTTACGTACGGCAGGAAAAACTCCCAGCTCTGAAGGAGTACAAATACTCAGGTGTTGACCATTCGCTGCTCTCACGATATGTCCTGAAGCCCTTCTACACCAACTTCGTCATAAAATGTTTTCCCATGTCGATGGCACCAAATCTTATTACCCTCTCAGGCTTCAGTTTTATCATTGCCAACGTTTTGACCCTTCTGTGGTATACACCGACGCTGGATCAAGACTGCCCACCTTGGGTCTATTTTAGCTGGTCCATTGGGCTCTTTCTCTACCAAACCTTTGATGCGGTGGATGGTTCACAAGCGTCTGTATTTGCTAGGAAGACCGAAACTAGCATGCTAATAAATTTGCAGACGACGAACGCACCAGAGTGGCCCCCTTGGCGAGCTTTTTGATCATGGTGTGGATGCTTTGAACACGTCACTAGAGGTCCTGGTTTTCGCTGCCTCGCAGAACTTTGGCATGGGTTGGAAGACGGTCCTAGTACTGTTTGGTTGTATGTTTAACTCCTTGCTTCCCACCTACAGGGTAGCTGCTAATACGTCCCAGCTCTTTTAACCTTCTACGTACAAACATGGGACGAATACCACACCAAGACTCTTACATTAGGCATAGTCTCTGGACCAGTTGAAGGAATCGTTATTCTCACACTGGTGTATGCATTCACGGGTTTTATGGGCGGTGGAAGCTTTTGGCAACAATCAATGCTCCAAACCTTGGGTGTTCCTCATTTCGCTTTCATTCCAGATATCATTTACAATTTGGCTTTCAATGAGTGGTATCTCTTGCAAGGTGGATCAGTCTTGGTTTTCAACACCATTCAATCGTATGAACCACTCAGCTCCCCAACTGTGGACAATGAAGTGCTGCTGACTCTATATTACAGATCTTTAAACGTCATCAGCGCTCGCCGTAAGAGAGGCGATAGGTCTCGAGGTGCTCTTCTAGGTCTCCTTCCCTTCTTTGGAACCTGGACTTTGATTCCTGCCTACCTTTACCTCAACCCTGAAATCCTATACAATCACCTTGTGCCCTTTGTCGTCTTCGCTGGACTCGTCAACGCGTACTCTGTGGGGCAAATGATTACCGCTCATCTTGTGAAATTGGATTTCCCATACTACAACGTTCTGGTTTTGCCCTTGGCATATGGTGTTTTCGACTCCTTGGGGCCATTTTTGCAAACTCACATCGGTGTCGGATGGCCAAGTGCTTTGGGTGATGGAGGTTACCAGGTAGCGTACATGTTCTCCATGTTGGGCATGGCTATTGGTGTTTATGGAAGCTTCGTCGTAAGTGCCAAGTCTCGATTTTCGAGTATTTCTTACTGACATAAGATTCAGGTTGATGTCATCGTCACAATTTGCGACTATCTTGATATCTGGTGCTTGATGATCAAGCACCCATGGGACGAAGAGGCAGAGGCAAAGAAGGCAAAGAAGGCAAAATAAGCCTCCTTTGTTTCGCGAATTGGTAAAAAGGAATTGATTGGGGCAGGTAATGACGATATGGACAAGACCTTAATGGAGTTATGCATATGGATGCCGGGTTATGTGTATATTATTGGACTGCGATGTATTATGTTTTTCTGCTACAAAGGTGGTTGATTTCGATACCCAGGTTTTTAATGACGAGCGCGATCTGGCTGGGTTTGGGCATTGCGGTTTTCCTTTAATACACATTTTTTCGCTTCTGGTTCATCCTCACTACTGACTTTGTTATTTGGTAATAGGTATATCGATTTAATGAATACCCTTTCGTCTCTCCTCCATCATACATCATTGCAATAAAAGATTATGGGCAAGGTATGTTTCATCCACAACATAGCCATTCTGTGCCATTCTATTAATCCCTAGACACATTTACATAAGTGATCTACTGTAAATGTACTTGACAATTTGATTTGGGATCTTCTAGCATATAATTTAAAAAAACATAATGTTCGGAAGAATTGTGAAAGGAAACTTTTGTCTAAACGGTACATAATTAAAATATTATCTCAGAAAACTCGAATAACCGAATTACGTACTGAACTATCTGCGTAACTATATAGAATTAGTGTAATACTATTTGTAAATCCGAGTTCATGATACAAATTCCTCAAAGATAAGACGACGAGTTGGTCGGCTGTTATTAGTAGGTTGTGTATAGAAAATAGGAAGCTAGGTTAGATGGGTAACCCGATGTCTCGAAACTGGAGTATCTAGCAGACAAGAGTTTCCTAATTCTCATGAACACTTTGGAAGGTTTGTATTAACACTACAAGACAAGTCATCAAAAGCCCATAAAACATTATCATATACATTAATCTCATGATACTGGTCCTCGCTTAATCATACCAAACTCCTTCACTCCCCTAATCCAATTAACTAAACAACAGGAGACATCCTCCCTCCAGAACAACTCTTGCTCAAACTCTCACAAGCCGTCGTCAGACTCCCACTACTAGAGCCCACCCAAAACAAGAACGGCTCCGCCGAGCTAACAGGAATCACCCAGTTCTGCAGCGTCGTATCCCACACACTCATATCCCTCCTTGTGACATCGATCGTCAACGTCTGGCTCCCGCCCACAGGCAGCGTATCCGTTTTCTCAAAGTTTCGTAGTTGGATGATGGGCGTTTCGTAGATGGAGCCGGAGGGGTGTTGGATGAAGAGCATGGCTACGTCTTTTCCGGGCACGGCACCGGTGTTTTGGATGGTGACGGTGACGGTGAACATGACATCGTAGAGTGCTGGGTTACCGCCTTGGTCGCCGCCCGCCGGGGGGTCGGGTTTGGGCGTTGTGCTGTAGCCGGTGGGGTAAGCGAATTCGGATTGTTCGATGTCTTCGGGGTCGTCGAGGTAGGGGTAGAGAGAGCGCCATACTGATGAGAAGTCTGTTGGCCAGGCGGCCNGTGGGGTAAGCGAATTCGGATTGTTCGATGTCTTCGGGGTCGTCGAGGTAGGGGTAGAGGTAGCGCCATACTGATGAGAAGTCTGTTGGCCAGGCGGCCTCGGAAGCGGGGGGGATGTCGGTGCTGTAGACGGGTGTGGAGCCTTTGGCTTTTCGAGCTGGGGGGAGGGCACTCATGGCTGTTACGGAGGCAATGCTTATTGAGGTGTAGGAGAATGTGGTGTAGGAGAGACCATGTCCGAAGGGAAAGCGAGGAGCGATAGAGTGTTTGTTTAGGTAGCGGTAATCAATGTAAAGGCCTTCTTCGAAAGTATCTTGCACTTGGAAAAACTGGAATCCCTTCAAACTAACCGAGGATGGGTAATCGTCCTCTTTCTTGGTAATTGAGTACGGGAGATGACCGGAGGGCGAGTAGTCACCGAAAAGGATATCTGTCAATGAGTCTCCCGCTTCTTGTCCTGGAAGATGTGCAACGACAACCGACTTGACAGATGGAAGCTCTATCCATGGTTCCATAATGATTGGCCCAACTGTGTGAACCACTACAATAACGTTTGCATACTTTTCAGCCGCTGCCTTGACAAGGGCATCGCCATGATGCCAAGCTACTAGTCCTTCAGAGTTTCGGTCTCCTGCATTGCCCTCGACTGTGTGCTGATTTTCTCCGGAATCGCTAGTGATGAAGACAATTGCAATGTCTCCAATTGCAGCTGTGAGACCGCTGGGGAAATCATCACTAGAGTGATACTCAACTTGAGATGCCTTCATCTTGATGGCATCAATAGGAGCATCGAGGTACGGATAATCGGCCGTTCCTGTAAGAAGTTAGCAGTTGTCGGAATATTATCAGTACTTGTAATTTACCACTTCCCCAGCCCATGCCAAGAACGCCTTTGTTGCAATTGCGCTGGCTGCAAGCATTTGGACCATCCGGGTTGTTCTGAGCGCTTGAGCCAAATATCTTCAAGACAGCACTTGTAGATAAGGGAAGTGTCTTGTTGTCGTTCTTCAAAAGTGTAATGGCTTCTCTAGAAACTTCTCGAGCAACGTTTTTATGATCGCCTTGTACATTGACGTATTGGTTTACAACACAGTCCGGGCCGCTAAGCGCAGCAGGGTAGCATTTAGCAACACGATCATGAGTATTGGCAGAAAAGTTTGGAAGAGGAAAGTCCTTGTCTTGTCCGAGTTTATACCACGTGGCGACAACGCGAGTAGCCATATCGTTCAAACGCTCGAGGGGAACTGTGCTATTCAACACGCTTTTTGTGAGTTCGTGGGCCCAGTATGTCAGTCCAAAGAAAGGAATATTGCCATCACCGGGCATGGCCATATCGAGACCGGCTAATGCAGAACTAACACCACCAATCTGTGAAAGCCAATCGCTCATGACCTGTGTAATGTTAGTGTCGAACTTAACTGTTAGCGTATGCTTTTACTCACCAGGCCTTGGAAACCAAATTCATCTTTCAGTATACAGTTGATCAACATACTATTCTGCGAAGCTGCGCTACCATTCACATCATTATAACTCGTCATGACCGCACCCACGCCAACCTTGAGAGCATCCATAAATGGCCAAGCATATAACTCGTGAAGAGTTCGGTCGTCGATGTTGGAACTTATCGCTTTCATCAGTCCGTGTGGAGGAATATCCATTCTGTACATTTCTTGCTCATTGGCAATGAAATGCTTCACAGTTGCAATAACTCCATTGGCTTGCATCCCCTTGATGGTTTCTGCTCCACCAATACCCTGAAGTGATGGATCAACTCCAAATCCCTCCCAGTTTCTTCCCCCTCGCGGTTTTCGTCCGAGGGGTCCAACTGTAGGCCCAAGTTGGATGTTGACTCCTTTCCCACGAGCTTCCTGTCCAATTGCATCCCCTCTTGCATACATCAACGCCTTTGAAAAGGTTGCTCCAACTGTGATACCAGCTGGAAAAACCGTAACATTATCCGTCGCTGCAATGCCCAAAGCCGAGTCTTGCAAACACAAGTTTGGGATTCCAAATCGAAGAGCTGAACCAGTGTTTCCCACACATGGTCCCATGAGAAACCCAGTACCACTGGTTATATTGACTTTCTCAACCAATGTCATCTGAGATACGACAGCCTCGGCTTTAGCATAGGCCTCTGCCCAGTCTGCACTCCATCCACCCTTTGGCGCGGGGTAGTAAGGAGCTGCGACATAGCCGTCGGGAACATCGTCTCGTTTCTTGAGAGTTGAATTATCAGAGCTAGCAAGTTTGTTGATTCGAGAAATTTCGGCCGCAAAGTCGGGTTGGGATACGAGGGCAACAACAGGGTGTACAGCCGCATATAGAACCAAAAGACGAAGAACAAGCAACATTTTGAAGATTAAAGTTGAGAAAATTTCTTGCCGGCGCTAGGAAAAATCCAAGGTTCAAAAATGATGCTGCCTTTGAGGTTGTGCTGGTTTCACCTGACGCTCATAGGCTCAAGAAGCTGGCAGGAAAGGTGCCGGTTGAGAACCTTGATTCTTGCAGAACGACACTTGAAGCAAGGAAGAGGATGGCAAAGGAAATCACGAGATACTTATAAGAACGCTAAAACAGCTCCATTACACGCGGGGAAATCCTCCAGAAGCAGAGGTACGGGAGTACCGACAAGGTGCTCGAGTAGGGCATCCCCATTAAGACAGCAAAAAAAATAAAAAGTTACCCTGTGCTAAAGATCAGCAGGTACGAATACCAGGGAAAGAGAAGGAGCTAGTCTAGGCGTAATTATCAAAGCACCTGCATGGCAGCATCGCAGTGTCGTTATACCTCAATTATGCCGATCCTCCATAGAAGAGCTGTAAGTGACGGGAGTAGATTAGTTACACCAAATTGTATGGAACATGGTGGTGACGCTCGGAGCAGAGGTTCTGCTTTCGGGTTCTGCAATGCAACCCCGCCAAAGGCATCGGCATTTTGTGATTCGCTCAACTCCGCTGTCACTGTGACATATCTCATCTCTAATTTGTAGCCGAGGACAATCCGGGGATACGCCAGTTTGATGCACACAATCATTGGTTCCGTATGGTTGTAAGAAGGACTTTCCCTTCCCTTCTTCACGCGTCCCGACAAATATAGAAAGTTCCCATCGTCAATATCCGAGATCTTTCCAATCTAGTATAATGCTCTCGTCTCGATAGTGATTTATTCCTTATTCCTCGGATCCTCTCCCCTGAGACTCTTGTACTGAGGTTGAGATCTGTGGGACCTGCGATGTTTTTCCGTACGAGCAATTCGTTGATAATAGACTGAGGGTAATGGGTTAGATCCCCATTGAACAACTCTGGTCAGATGGCGACCTCCGCATGTTGTAATCGTGTTTTTCCAAGCTAGCAGCCTAGCTGGGTGAAGGGTATATAGGTACCAAGTAACTTCGCCGTGCGGTGACTTATTTGAGCAAGATGCTATCGATAAGATCGACTCTATTTACCCCAGTCTGTAAGGCTTGTCTTTCCTTGGGATGACAGATCCGAGGGTTTCTTTTTTTCGCCGAGGAATATCCTTTGCTTAATTTTTCATAAAGGAGCTTGAAAAAACAGAGGGCGGGTGCAGCGAGAATCGGATCCCTGGAAGGCCGATTACTATGGAGTAATATACTTCCGTCTCCAGGAAAACAAATATCTCAATCCCCATTCATACTCGAGTATCCTCGGCTGTATGACAACACCAGACAAGCAATGGATAAAATCGCATGCTACGGAAACTACCCGCTGGAATTTTGTGCCCAGGTTGACTTGGCAGAGAACTCTTGCTTTGCCCTATTTTACTGTTCTGGACATTTAGACTAATAAAAACAGACAACCAGAACCCTAGGATACTTACAGTAAGACAATTCCCTGAAATTGCGAATAACTAAATCAATTTACGAAAAAATACAGGTAGAACAAGAATCCCGCAATCTGGTTTCCTAGAGTCGTCGAGACAATATTTTACTCGTACGTCGCATATCGTCAGAGAGACACATATACTGAGATTGAGAATCCCGCCACTTTTCCAGTCTACCGGGAGCTTAGTTCCTTCAACGCAGCAATAATGATTCGTAAAGGTGCGAGCCAAGTGATTTGATCTCGCGGTGGACAGAACAAAAACGGCTGTTAACTCTGTTCTTGTCGTACCTCTCTTTTCAAACCATTTGTTCTGAGCTATCTCGAATAATTAAATAATTGATTAAAAATCATAGGACAGTTAGAGAAATTGTCCTAGAAGATTCAGTTCAACTACTTGAAATAATCCGGAAAGAAAGGAGCAACGAGAGAATTATCTACTGTCTTCTATGGGTCTACCACCAGCTCTCTGAGTTCGCATTATAAAATCGCAAGAATGAGACAATTCAAAAAAAGCAAGGAAGCAGTACGGAATTTGAACTTGGATTATAAGGCAAGTTTCTGTTTATACAAACAGTATATACCATCAAGCAGTTCCGCATTAAAAGCAGGGCAAATGACGAAAGAAGAGGTTATACATATTGAGTGGTGAAAGTCAAAATCTTCGATACCCGTATGTAAATGGAGCTCGCTTAGAAGATGTGGCGATAGCGACAATGGCAGGCAAAAATTCATTGCGGATGTAAAGCCACCGTCTTTCCTTGTGTGAGTAGGAAACAAATTGTGTGAAATGGCTAGGACAACCCATTTGACCTCTTTCTCCATTCTTCGTATATGTATCAAATAAATGTAACGTGTGCATCAATCCTTCGTGCATGATGTATCGTCTGATACTGTAGCGGGGGTTGAAACCTTAACTCAATTTTGTTCAGTGTAAAGCTTACACTTTGAGCTAGAGAAGCGAGTCGGCAGAAGGCGGCTCGCTGGTAATAAACTCCTAGATATGGTTTTAAGAGACTCCCTATATCTGAGGGCCTGGCTGTCCAGTAATCTTACACGAGAATAGGATGTTGTCGTTGATCTCGGGAAACGCTTAAGAGGAGGAACAAACGAGACGGTCTTTGAGAGGGCGCGAGAGAGAAAATGTCGACAGATTCAGCATTGCCAATCTGTGCCAGGGTCAGGATGCTTCTTTCCAGAACCATGGTCGTGGTGAATGGAAGTCGTCCAGAGATGTATGGAAATAAATCCCAGCAGCATTCACCCTTGTATGCTGTCGTGTCTCTAAACCTCGCCTTCGTGAGGTGATACCTCGTACATCTGTAACCAAGACGATAAGAATTGCCCGTAAGACTTACCGCACCGCCTGGTATTCCTAGCGAATCTCAAGCATCGCTGCTGTCGATGGCAGCATGAATGTTGGGTAAAGAATTTTGGTGGAGACGGTGATAGCCGAATGAATACAAGTACAAGATACTCGTACCCTTCCGATGAAGCGCCTCAAAGAGGAATAGGCCTTACTCGTACCGAGGGTCATTACAGTGGTGCCGTGCCTCTCAACCTCTTAATTTACCGGTTTATATCTCGTATCTGTACCTCGATAGACTATCGATAAAGGTTTTGTATTCCAGGAATTGTAGCACTCCTACTGTACCCCGCATAGACGTGGTGAATCTGTCCACTTTGATCATCACAGAGAAGCAGGAGGTCTAACTATACGAAAGCTGTTTCTCAGCCTCTCCCTCTCTGCCTCCCAATTGGAAGTTGGTCAAGGCGTGGGATCAGCTGACCGATCACGTCACTATCACGATCACGTGGACTGATGCTTTGGCGTGAGGGCTGCAGGTCAGTCGGTGGAGATGCAGTGCAGTTCAGTTTGTTGTCTCCAATGCCAATACAGTAGTGCCGATGCCAGTGCCAGTCCAGTGCCAGAAATGCCAACTACTCTACTTCTTAATTCTTTGAATTAACCAGCATTCTGCCCTCTGCGTTCTGGGGGTATCTTTTTCTTCCGCACGCCCCCTCTCCCTCCAGATCGATTCCCCTCTCCCTCCAGATCGATCGGTTCCCCTTTCTCTCTCGGGTGCTGGTCGTTGGCGGTGGTGCTCTTCACCTTCAATTCTCAACCTCCCCTACACTGCACCCCCAAAGTAGTTCCAGAGTTGCGCCGCCCCTCAGGACACGACCAGCCAACAATCCGATCTTGAACCTTCTGAACCACCAAGAGATACCTACACCACACCGACTCCCCTCCCCACCCGCAACAATGGATAACAACAACCGTTTCCATTTGAATCTAAACCCCAACCCCAACGGGGAACGACAACAGTTCAACGATCGTGCCTACCCAACCACTCCCTCAACCTTTCCTAATCCCATATTCCCGTCTCAGGCACAAGGGGCTTCTTCGCAAGGACAGGGTCAAAACGGCCAACAACCATACTCCACAGGTTTCGCTCCAGCTGGATACTTCATGAACAATCCGTACCCCCCAGCATATCCTCAACAGCCTCCTGCCACTTCTTATGGACAAGCTCCCCCTCAACCACCAGCAGCATCGTACCAGCAACAGCGACCATCCCCATACCAAGCCAATGACTCGACAAATGGGTTGGTGCACCAGTTCTCTCACCAAAACTTAGGTGGTCGCAGTTCCCCTTACGGCGCTCGTCAGAATTCTTCTCCCAGCCAACGACCTCGAACCGCAGGAGCACCCAGTCAACAGGCGAATTATCAGGGTGGCTATTTGACCCCAATGCCTTCCCAAGCTGCCCAGCAACAAAATTGGCCAGAATGGCAGACTGCCCCTGAGCGAAACCCAGACAAGTATGGCAAATCAGCAGAGACCAACCAAACAAAATGTTCACAACTGGCCGAGACTTTCTTCAAAGACAGTGTCAAGCGTGCTAGAGATCGAAATGTTAGGTGAGTGAGGCTGTCGCTTGCATGTTACGTTGCGTCTAGTGAAGAGACACTGACAAACTTCACTACAGACAGAGTGAGATGGAACAACGGCTAGTAGACCCAAACCAATCCCAATCTAGACGAGAGCAGACCTGGGCCAATGCGGGAAAACAAGAGGGCAAATATCTACGATTCTTGCGTACCAGAGACAAGCCAGAAAACTACCAAACTCTCAAGATTATTGGAAAGGGTGCATTTGGAGAGGTGAAGCTGGTACAAAAGACACAAGATGGTAAGGTCTACGCCATGAAGTCGCTTATCAAAAGTGAAATGTTTAAGAAGGACCAATTGGCACACGTTCGAGCGGAGCGAGACATCTTGGCCGAGTCCGACAGTCCTTGGGTTGTGAGACTTTATACCACTTTCCAAGATGCAGACTTCCTCTACATGTTGATGGAGTTCTTGCCTGGTGGAGATCTCATGACCATGTTGATCAAGTACGAGATCTTTTCCGAGGACATTACTCGATTCTACATTGCTGAGATTGTTCTTGCGATCGAAGCTGTTCATAAATATGGATTTATCCATCGGTAAGTTTTGCCCCTTGCCTTGCCATCCTTTCCCTTTTCTGGTTTATTAGAATCTAAACCCTCTAGTGATATCAAACCCGATAACATTCTGCTTGATCGTGGCGGACATGTCAAGCTTACCGATTTCGGTCTCTCGACTGGATTCCATAAGCTACATGATAACACCTACTACCAAAATCTTCTCCAGGGCAAGTCTAACCGTCCGCGCGATCGAAATTCTGTCAATCTCGACCAAATCAATCTTACTGTCAGCAACCGTGGAGCGATCAACGACTGGAGAAAGTCTCGAAGAGTCATGGCTTACTCGACTGTTGGTACACCTGACTACATTGCTCCTGAGATTTTCACTGGCCACGGTTATTCATCTGATTGTGATTGGTGGAGTTTGGGTACGATTATGTTTGAATGTCAAGTTGGATGGCCTCCGTTCTGTGCTGAAGATGCTCACGACACTTATCGCAAGATTGTCAATTGGCGTCAATCATTGTACTTCCCTGAGGATGTTCAATTGGGCCCAGAAGCCGAGAATCTTATCAGAAGGTAGGACATCTCGTCAAGATATCATCGCAGAAACTAACATATTATTAGCTTGGTTTGCAATTCCGAGAATCGTCTTGGTCGTGGAGGAGCCGATGAGATTAAAGCCCACAAGTTCTTCCGTGGTGTTGAATTCGACACGCTTCGTCGTATTCGTGCTCCATTTGAACCCAAATTGAACTCGAACGTCGATACTACCTACTTCCCCACTGATGAGATTGATCAAACGGATAATGCTACTCATCTCAAGGCCGCCAACGCAGCTGCTGGAGGTGGACCACGAACCGAGGCCCCCGAAATGACGCTGCCATTTATCGGCTACACTTTCAAGCGCTTCGAGACCAATTACAATCGATGATGAGCAAATTCGAAATTCGCGTAAAAGTCAAACAATGTCCGTCTCGGACCCGTTCAATTTCGTAAGCTTTGCGGAAATGTTCAATCGGCATGTGAGGCGACTGTAAGGCTTCTTTTCTACAGATACCACTTTGCGAGGCATGTCATGATGGAGCTATTAAGCATGGAAATTACACCTTGAGGGGAACAATGTATTGCTCTAGATCTCCTAGACCAGGAATATTTGAAAGGTCCACTTGATAAGTCTATGATTTCCGGTATTGATTGCATTTCCAGGCGTACAATCATAGATTTTTTGTTGAATTGTTTTTTCATGCTCCGCCATGCAGGTGGCTGAACCACAAAGTCATGGGAACACAATCAATCGAGAATTTGTTAAAAAAGATATCCGTAGAAGTATTTGAGACAATAATAAACCATTGTGACAGGTTGAGAGTCTCCTATATAGGTTGACTCAAGTACACTTCTATTCACTAGTTGCCATATCTAAACTTAAGTTCACATAATCAATTTTTTAAAAGCCTCCCGTACAATACTTTCTGGCATGTAGCATTGAAAATACATTATCCTCGTGTGTTTACCTAATTAGTTTTTATTTGTGACATTGCTTGAAAATCCCGAAAGAGAATTCAATGGATTGATTAGTGCTAGGCTGAGTGCTAATACGTTGGTGGTTGATTTCAATGCCCCTTTACGTTACCTTTTCGTGACTGGAATGTTTTGGATTTGATACCAAAGAGCGAAAGAGCGGGATACTTGTGGTGTTTTGGGATAGAGAGGTATTGTAGTAGGGGTGTGGTGGGTAGGATTTTTTAGTTGCTTGTTTACCTCCGTAGTGTGGTATGCTTTGATGTAATGGTGTTGGTTGCTTGATATGTCTACTCGTGGAGTGATTGTAATTATTGGCCTAAATAATTTTTAAAATAATGATGTTTAATGATGTTGAAATATAGAGTAGCTGGTTGTATTGAAGTGAGTTCTATTCGTGTAGTCTTTATGATCAAAGCCAGAGGCAGTTTAGTCTTTATAAAAATAACACAAGAATATTGTATTTCAGTTGATTGTACAAATGGGAGCCATTCAAGTACTCAACAGAAGAACTCAACAGAAGAACTCAATGTTGAAATTACAGGAGTTTCACGTTATATGGAAGGCCCCCTTCCTTTGGCATTCGTCTTCCATTCTATATTACATACAGTAATCAAGGCCATTAGTTGAACTCCTAATAACTCCATGTCCAGTTACTTCATAATTATCTCCTTGGGAGTCCCACAGGCGCCAAACCAGGCACCCCACTATATCTCTCCTCTCTCTCCGTCTTAAACATGACCTGTACCCAAAACTCCTTCAAGTCCGTATCAAACCACGTCCAGAACCTATCATTCGTACGATCCACCTCTCGCGCCTGCAGCTTAAATCCACAAGTCTCATAGGGTTCTGCCGCCACCAACATATACTGAAAGTTCTTGTCCGGAGGATCGTCGACCTTCTGCTCATACGCGCTCATGAATCGAACCTTGGGCTGGATCTCGGGGTTTATCTCGGGGTACTGTAGTTGAAATAGTAGGCCTTGTTGTCGAGTAACTGGATCTCTGATCTTTGTGATTTTGTACCCGGGTCGACCGATTTTGATGATGTTCTTTCTGACGTTGACTTGGGCTCCTACCATGCCAATCGGTAAGCCGGTGACGGGATCTGTGCCTGCTCGTCCTTCTTTTTGTTCACGGGCAGCGCGACGCGCGAGGTTGGTTTGATGCTTGCGCCCTTGGGTGTGAGCGAGGTATGAACCATCATTCTGGTGGACTGTGAGACACAGACGACATTCGAAAGAGCCGACATGGTTCTTGAAGAAGTATGGGTCTTTGTCTAAATCGATGGTTTCGAGGGCGAGCTTGCGCAGTCGTTCTCGTCGGTCTGCATTTGTTGCTGAGGTTGATGCGACACCACCTCCACCGAATTTGGAACCAGCACGGTTCTGGTAATCCATGATGACAATTTGGATGATGTATGCGATTGAGAAATCGGTGTGTGTTTGAGGTAGGGGCAGAGGGTTGGTGCCTCCTTCCTTGGTTGATGGGAGGAAGCTAGAAAGTCGATGTTCTGGGAGACTGGATTTCTTCGAAAGCTCGGTCTTCAGCCGACTCCTGCAGCCTTGTCGCCTCTTCACCAAGACACCCCACAGTCAACACTTAATACTGTGCTGTAAGGCTAGCAGGCTGGCTTTCAACGGGCCACCACGGTATGCGATGCCTCCCAAATACCATGTAGGTCAACGAGTTTCCTTCTCCAACTCCCCAGGAACCATTCGATACATCGGCCCAGTGGATGGAGCTGGCAAGGAAAATGTCCGTCTTGGAGTCGAGTGGGACAACCCTGCACGCGGTAAGCACGACGGAAAGTTCAAGGGCAAGCGATATTTTGAATGTAAGTCAAATAAGACAAAAATGTGTGATATTTTCTGTATGCTCTTATTTCTGATGTCCTCTAGGCTTGAGTGGATCACCAACGGGAGGTTCCCTGATGCGCATAAATGTTCTCAAAGATCCCGAGCAGAGCTTTGTTGAAGCTGTCCATGAAAAGTATGACCCACCTGAGGAGGAGGGTACAGAGAATCATGTTACTCCAAACGTCATTTCGGGAAAGGTGGTAGAAGAAGTTGGCTTTGACAAGATCAAAAAGCAACAAGCTCAGCTTCATAAGCTGTCTCATGTTCTGGTCGACGGAATGCGCATCAGCTCGGCCGAGACACCTCATCAGACCATCAGAGAAACATGTCCGAAAATCGTCGAACTCGACCTCAGCCGAAATCTGTTCGATGACTTTGAGGTCGTTGTCCGCATATGTGGTGAACTCGATGCTCTTAGGAGTGTGAGACTCAAGTAATTTCCCTCCCGCAACCTCCATGTTCTCTGGCTAATCTCTTCTAGTAACAACAAATTTCCTCGTCTCAAGAACGAAAAGGCCCGCAAAGAGCTTACGGGAGTTATTGAACTGGAAATGAATGAAATGTATATGCCCTTCCATGAGCTGATCAAAATCGCCAGACTATTTCCATCTCTGACAACCCTCACGGCTTGCTCAAATGCCTTTACGTCCGTTACTTGTCCACTGGAGATTAATACCCTGACCTCCCTTACACTCGAATGGAACAGATTTACCAATTTATCCCAGCTTTCAAAGTTGACATCCTTACATTCCCTCGAGATACTCAAACTCAAGGGAAATCGTATTTTTGAAATCACAAATAATGCGGACAAAGACAACACTGCAGATGACAAACCACTGGTGTTTGGGTCCAAACTTCAATATCTCGATTTGTCGTACAACGAAATCAATACCTGGGAGTTTGTCGATGATTTGGCGACTACTTTCCCGGGTCTAACGGCCTTACGACTTTCCCACAACCCTATCTATGCCAGTACTCATGAAAGCAAAGTGGCCACAAGTTTGGAGGAAGCATCGCTGATCACAACCGCTCGTTTGAAATCACTCACGAAATTAGACTTTGAAACCATCACTCCTGAGCGCCGAAATGATGCTGAGGGATACTACATGTCTCTCATTGGTAAGGCTCTGGCAGCCGTTCCAGAAGAAGAGGAAGGAAAGGTCATTGCCAAACATAAACGTTATCATGAGCTATGCAAAATCCATGGTCCCCCAGCCTACGTGCGCAGGAGCGCCGACACGGTCAATCCCGATTTTCTTGAAGCTCGCTTAATCAATTTCGAGTTTTACCTCGTAGATGGCCCGCCCTTCAGCAAACAGCGAGAGATACCAAAGTCATATGACGTTTACCGTGTCAAGGGGATTGTTGCTACCATGTTCAACTTGAAGCCCCTCAAACTCAAACTGACGTGGGAGACTGGAATATGGGACCCAGTTGCAGGTTACGAAGAGGACGAAGAGAGCAGTGATGCGGAGGATATAGAAGAGGAGAAACAAGATATTCCGCCTAAGACAGACGACCACAAGAAAGGACGGTGGATGAAGAGGGAAGTGGAAATTGAGAATTCAACTCGTCAAATCGGTGTCTGCGTTGATGGAAATGAGGCCAAAGTTAGGGTTGAGTTGTTGAAGTGAGGTGGTTGCATACTAACCAGTTGCAAATATAATTACTTGTGGACTTTTTTGGTTTGCAATTGTATGTCTGGAACATCTCCCTTCATGGTGACCCACTTTGAGGTGACTGGCTCTTGTTTGCGGGGGTTTGATAGAGCATATTTGTTAGATTCCCGGATTTACTGGCACAATCCGGGAGTAGCTAATTATTTAGATTGCCATCGATACCAAACACCAGAATAGCATTCTCTATTCATCTATATATTCTCGTCTCTGTAATTTAATTTTCTCCTTGGGTAAGACACTCTTCTCGGCTAGCCACCAATTGAACACCAATACACGATGGTCAATAGCCCAGAAGCAACATCCACATTTTACAAGTCCTACCCCCTCAGATCTTTCCTCTGGAGAAGAAGCGAACCATGCACCCCGAAACACCCGAACTCCGGAACCACGGGAATCAACCATGGGCCTCGCACTTCATCGTTCGCAAAACGGGACAAATCGTTCCGCTCATTGCTGTGGATGAACTCCCGCCCTCGCTACACATCGATGGTGTCCCGAGGTATCTTTCCATCGTCGAGACGAAGGGGATGTTGAAGTTGGGGCTCCAGGAGGAGCGAGAGGGGTATTATCGTGTTACGAGGGGGGAGGCGAAGTCGAAGGGGTTGAGTTTGTTGGATAGTGAGCAGTATGTATTCCCGGACACACTCTCCTATCTTCGCTTAACGCCCCAAATATAAAATCCGCTTATAAGGAAGGGAGGAAGGCAAGAATGAGAGACTAATACTGACCACTCCAGTAACCCCGCCAAATCCCAATCAGGCACAGGCAAAGACCAAGCTCCCAGACCAGCAGAAACGGAAGTCGTATCGACGACACCCCGACAACCAATCCCCACGCCGAAATCCTCATCTCTCTCCCCCTCCTCACGGGAGGACTGGGAGAAATCACGCAGTCAGCAGCTTTGTCGACATTGGTGTGTGCATGGGGTTTGTAAGTGGGGGCGGGGTTGTCATTATCGCCATCGGATGCCGATGGATCGGGATGGACTGAGGGAGGTTGGGCTGAGGGAGTGGCCGGGGTGGTTTCGGAGGGGGAATCCGGGGTTGTTTGGGGGTGGTGGGG